CCAGCAGAGGCCGCCCACCTTCAGTCCCGCCCGCAATGGTTCACAGCAGCGCCCCAGGGGAACTCCGCAGCGCAGCCCTGGTTGTTGATTGAAATCCATGAAATTCCATGTTGGCCTCCTTTTATATATCACCAGACTGAGAGCCCAGGAGACACCCAGCGGGACCTGCTGGTTTCCCCATGCGCTGTCCCTAAATCCTCAACCTGTTTTGTTCTCACCTGCAAAACCTGGCCACACCCCGAAATCCCAGCACTCAGGAGGCTGAGGCAGGAGGATCTTATGCTCCTGCCTCAGAACAAGCAAAAACCAGTAAAAGAAAAGAAAAAAGCGTCTGGCTCACCTCCCTGTCCTTTCTGTCCTAATCCGCCTGAGCCCCAGCACTGGGAGGGGACAGGAAGGCCCAGTGGGCCCTGGTTCCAGGCTGGGCCGGCCGGAGGGGCATGCGGGTGGCCCTGCCCCGCCCGGCTCGTCCCCGCCAGGCCCAGGAAAATTGCATTAACCGGGAGAATCTGGCCAGGACGATCCGTCAGGCCTCCTGAAGGACGGCGTATTGATTTCCACATTGCGAAAAAATTAAATGATCCCCTCCGTGTGATTTAAAATGCTGCCTCAGCAATCCCGTAATGGAACAGCCCAGCAGGCCCAGGAGGGGGACGCCACCCCACGCCCGGAACTGATGGCCCCGAGAAGGGCTCCATTTGCCGACAACACACACAGCCTTGATTTATTAAAGACATAACAATTATGAAAATAGCTGATTTATAATCATCCAGCCTGAGCCTAATTGATTTCCGGGGTGAGATTCGGGGGGAGCTTCTGGCACCTGGGGGTGCTGCCTGCAGGAGAGGGGGCCCCCCACCCCGGCAGGCAGCCTGGGACCTCGCCTGTCACCTCGGGAGGCGCTGGGCTCCCGGCCAGCTGTGCCCGCAGGGCCAGGCGGCCATCATTCCCCGGTGGCCGACTGTCGCTGGCTCCGTCTCAGGGACAATAGTCTGCTTTGCTCTCGGACCTCAGGGAGAGAGGCCAGCACTGGAAATGTGCCCGTCCTGTGACATCGGACGCTCCCGTCCCTCCACAGCCCTGGCCACCCTTGCCAGACCTGGTCAGCACTCTGGGAGGCCGAGGCAGGAGGGTCCCTGCCTCAGGGAGCCTCGGCCGACGGAGGCCAGAGTGACCTCCGCAGGGAACCGATCACAAGGGAGGAATGGGAGATGGCAAAGCCTTGGGCTGGGCTGAGAGAGACAGAGACACGCCACTGAGAGGCCCTGACTGCGGGAAAACAGTTGGGGCTTTGCTGCGGGTCACGGGAAGACAAGAGCCTGGGAGCTGCGGTGGGCCCAGGCCCCTGATCCCGGAGCCCCTTGGCTCCAAAGCTCGGCTTTGTGTCACCAGGAACCGGGGCACAGAGAAGCGGAGGGAGAGCGAGGAGGGAGGAGAGGAGGCAGAGAAAAGACCGCCCTTTACAGACAGGATCACAGACCTGGAAAAAACCCTCTCAGCCAGGCGCCAAGGCCAGCAGCCTGGACACACCCATGTGGACCCCTCAGAATACCTTACCAGCTCAGCACTTCAGGACTCAGGACCCTGAAAAGCACAAAAACAACATAAAATACCTGATTCTGATTGGCTTAGGGAAAAGAGAGATGGATTGGAACAGACAGTCACGGCTTCAGGTATGGCTGGATCCAGGTGCGCCAACCACACCCACCTGCTCCTGCTTGGTGATGCCTCTGCTCCGGGGAGCCCCAGGCTCCCGTGGCCTCAGCAACCCCGGAGGAACACAGTGTCTCCCTTATAATGCCACTCCAGCAGAGCACCTCCCACCAGCCCCCCAACTGTCCAGGTGCTCTTTCTAATGGGGCCATTTGGGTCCCAGGCCACTGAGACGGAAGTGGAGCCAGGCCAGGCCTGGCGTCTCTGAGCACCTCCAGGGCACGTTTACCAGCTAGTAACCAACAGGCAAGAGAGCCTGGTGAGGGGGGCAGTGGGCAGGGCAGCCGTACAGGATCCGCCACGGGGTTGTCCCAGCAGCGAGGAGCAGGGGCTGAGGTGCTGCCTGGCCGCCCTCTCCCCACCCCTACAGGTGAGAAGCCTGTGGATTCTGCCTGCTGCCCTGCCCTGAGTGAAGCACGCTCAGGTAGGGAGGGGTTTTGAGCCTGCAGACACGAGCTCAGGGGTAATATGGGTAGGACAGCCCCACAGGATAGGAGTTCTCTCCCTCTCTCTTTCTCATGCCCACACTGCAGCCAATTTGATTGAACCTTGTGAGTCAGAAGCAAGACAGAGGAGCCACCCCACCCACCACACAGATGCACCACCATCCTGGAAGTTTGAGCCCAGCCGAGGCAACTTAGTGACTTACCAAGACCTTGTCTCAAAATTAAAAATTAAAAGGATTTAGGTAGAGCACTTGCCTGCCATGCAGGAGGCTCTGGGTTCCATCCTCATCCTGAGGCTGTGAAAGGGAGTCTGGGTAAAATTTCTATGCTTTTAAAGAGACATGAAAGTCGAGATGGCCTGGATGGTGTTCATGTTTGATGTCTGGAACTCTGGCAGCCGTTCTGTGACCAACCACAAGAAAACAGGCCGAGATGTTGGAGCAGGAGAAAGGAAGCACCAAAGGCCATGACCAAGTCTCCAGGTGCCAAACGCAGACAAGGGCCCAAACTGCGAGCTACAGAGACCTCTTCTCTTCATAAGCAATCTGTCCTGGGTATTTTGTTACAGTGATGACACACTGCCCATTGCACCGTTGGTGTGTTAGACTCCACGGTGAGTCCTCCTGTGCTCTCTGCCGTGGTCCATGCCAGGACCTCATGGCCCACAGGGGCAAAGTCCCAGCCCTTGACGCTGAGCCCTATAACTTGTTTTGTAAATGGCTGTAAAGAATTGCCCCAATTCCGAAGCTGGAACATTCCCTGGAGTTTTGGTTCCTTCCCGTCTCCTTGTACCCTCCGACACCTGCAGCCCCCTCAGACCGAGCCACACAAGGAAGGCAGCTTGGAACTGACCGGAGTCAGCCAGAGCCACGATACGACCCTCAAGGTCCTTGACCAAGGTCATCCCACTTTGGCCAAACCCCAGCCAAACTGCAGGTGTGAGAAAAATAACACACGATCGCCCCCCAAGCCACCACAAAGTTGGGGTTTGCAGTGGTTTGGAGCTGGAAACTCCCCAAACCTTGTATGTTGAAGGTGCAGCCCTCCCAGGGTGGTGGGGCCTTTAAGAGGCGGGGCCTGTTGGAGGAAGTGATGTCATTGGGGGGTGTGGCCTTGGAGCCACCCCTTCCTGTTTCTCTCTGCTACTTGGCTTCCATAGCTGAGGAGCTCTGACCCACTGTGGACTCACAGCAACGGGGGACTGACGGCTGAAACCTCCAAACTCTGAGCCAAAAGAAACCTTGAGTATCTGGTGCATTTTGTTATAGTCACAGAAAGCTGCCTATTGTAGGGTTGCTTTGTTACACAGCCATTGCTAACTGTTACACTTGCAAAGACAATGCTGCTGTGCCAAACCCAATGCCCAGGGCGGTGATGGGAGTCAGTGTCTCATGGAGACAGAGGTTGTTTGGGGAGATGAGAAAGTTCTGGAAGTGGATGCATGAAAATGATAACTCACGGGTATTTTATCCCCCCCCCCCCAGTACTGGGGAAGGAGCCCGGAGGCTTCCCAAACACTCAGCAACCTCGAGCCACTGTGCTCCGCCTCTGGCCTTTTTCATTTTATACAAGGTCTGACAGTTGCCCAGGCTGGGCTCAAATTTGGGATCCTCCTGCCTCAGCCTCCCACAGTAGCTGGGTGGGCCGGTGTGTGCCACCAGACGCGGCTCCGTTTCACCATCGTCTTTAGAGGAGGAAGATTGGAGGAAGGAAGGTTTTCTTGGCCCTGCGATCAGTCCCCATGGCTTTAGGGGCCAGTGTAGGACCCCGAGGGCCGGAGAGGAGGGGACTGTCCAGAGGTGCAGGGTGAGTCGGGGCTGCAGCCCCGGCCCTCACAAACCCCATCTGGTCATGGAGCCACAGGCCTGTGATCCCAGCACTCGGGAGGCTGAGGCAGGAGGATCGCCATGGGCTCAAGGCCAGCCTGGGCTACAGGGTGAGACCTCTGTCACACAAAAAAAGCAAAAAAATTCAAAATCGAAGAATTCAGTCCGGAATAAATGCAGATACTGGGCATACTTGGGGCTTGCGTGGGCTGCTCTCTGGGTGAGGAGTGCGCAGCGCTGTTCTCCTCTGTGGGGTGCGAGTGTGTGCTCGTGCTGTCCTGAGGTGCAGGGCCACGGTGGGCCGCGGGAAGGCTTCGCCGCTGGGGAGAGACCGCCCTGCCTCTGCCTCCTGGCCGTCCCCTGCTCCTCCCCGACCTGGCTCTGCTCTCCAGTGACAAAGGCCCCGTCTCTGTCTCCGTCTCTGTCTCCGTCTCCGTCTCCGTCTCCGTCTCCGTCTGGTCCTGGCTGCTCTGCTCAAAGTCACACCGACAAGCCTCCTCTCGGCCCTGAAAGGCAATTTCGGCCCCCTCAAGCATCGGGTAATTGGATCCTTGAATCCGCGGGCAGCGGCCGTGGCTGGGCGGTGCAGCTCCGCTGCGCTGGGGCCCCGGCAGGGGGATGCGCTGGGCTCCGGCAGGACACGGATCTGGAGGTGCAGGGCAGCCCCGGCTCTGCCCCAGCCTCAGGGCGAGTGGGAGGTCCAGGCCCCCAGCTGCCGGGGACCCCCCACCCCTGGGCAGCATCCACCCAGGGCCTCTGGGCCCAGGGACCACCACCCTGCCGTCCTCACCCCCATCCGATGCACCCCGCCCCACACTCTGCACCCTCTGTCCCCTCGTGCACCCCCCGACTCGGTGACTGCGCCCCCCAGCTGCCCTTCCTTTCCCGGGTGCCGAAGACATGGGATTCAAAAAGAAAAACCAAACCGCCAGCCTTATCCTGGTCCGCTGATCCACGCCTGTCCTGCCTGCTACACAGGAGGCTGAGGCAGGACAACCTCGAGCTCAAGGTCAGGCTGGGTCATGTAGCCAGAACTCTGGCTCACAGTGTGTTTTATTTTATTTCTTAGTATGTTTTGTCCTTTTGAGTCAGGGTCTCGCTATGCAGCTCAGGCTGGCCTTGAGCTCACTCTGTAGTCCAGGCTGGTCTCAAACTTGCAAGGATCCTCCTGCCTCGGCCTCCCGAGAGCTGGGATGACATCCCACAAGACAGACACCGCTTCCCTTCTGGCCTGTTCTTTTCCATCTCTGTTTTCAGAAATGACAGCAGGATCGGAAATGGCGCTCAGGAGGGGTGACCAGCCTGCACCCCAGAAGGCCAGGCCAGGCTGGCACCGCCCCGCCCCCAGCAGGAGAGGCCCTGGGCAGGTCGGAGGGAAGAGCGCGGGTCGGTGCCTCCCTTGATTACTGCGGTTCTAATTAACTGGGGTGAGAGGGCGGCGGAGTCGCAGGGCCTAAAAGACCGGGCACCCTCCCCGGAGGCCTGGCCAGCTGGCCAGGAGGAGGCCGCGCAGGGCGTCATCTGCATAGCAGGTAATTGGTTTTACAAATAAACCTGGTTCTTGAAATTTGTAGATTAGCAATAATATGTCTCCAGATGAGAGGGAAAGGTCACGGATGAATAAAACCACAATTAGACTTTCAGGAGATTAGGAAGCCACACAGAGGCCTCAGCTTGGGGCCGGCAGGAGCCGGGCGCGGGCCTGCAGCCTCCCGGGAGCCGCTGGCCGTCCTGTGTCTCAGCAGAGGAGGCTGAGGCAGGAGAGGCGGGTGCCTGGGTGGCAGCTCGGCAAGGCCAAGGTGAGCAGCTCTGCCCCACCAGGGTGAGAGGAGGCCGTGGCTTGGAAGTGACAGGCTGGTATGGCCAGCGCTCTGCGAGGCTGAGGCAGGAGATTCCAAGGCTGAGCCCAGCCTGGGCAACTTAGCACCTGAGTGAGACTCTGTCAAGATTGAAAAACAGAAGTCAAAAGAACCATCGCGCCCATTTTGTTTGCTCAGCTTTGCACAGGGTGTTCAGGGGGCGCTGGGGAGAAGGTGTCACCAGAGCAGAGATCCAGAGGATGGAGCCATGGAGGAATGGGGGGGGGGGACGGACAACATTCCAGGCAGAGGGCTTGGCTCTGCAAAGGCCCTGGGGCAGAACGGCTGTCTCCCTTTTGCTCACAGCTTTCCCTCATCAGAAAGGTGGCTGTGATGGCAGGAGCTGTGCAGCCATTATGGACCACAAGATGGAAGCCAGGTGACTGAGGAGGCGAAGCCAGAAGACGGAAGAAGTGTGGTTCTCCCACGACAGTGGAGCCTCCATTGCACCTGGACGGTGCTAGAATGCGAGGCGTGGGAGCAATGAGCTTTGAGCCTTGATTGACAGTTTCTTGTATCTCAAATAAACCGGTTTAGGGGCTGGGGATTTAGCTCAGCGGCGTAACCACCTGCCTTGCAAGCAGGCGGTCGTGAGTTCGATCCCCGGTACCGATAAAAATAAGTAAATAAACGGGTTTGACTTCTGTCAGGCCCGCATTGCAAATTCCCACGCACTCTTCTGGGCCTTGGACCCAGCCAGGACGCCCCGCCCACCGGCTCTGAGCCCCGCCCACTCCTCCTGCAACCCAGCTGCACCTGCCCACACGCGCCCCTTGTGGCCGGCCCGGGAACTGCGCTCCTTGGCTCTGGCGAATCCCGCAGTCCAGGCCTGCCCGGGCTGCAGAGCAGTTGGATCCCAGGACGTGGCAGGGGCCGCCGGGGTCGCCCACACCCTCCATCCCTGCCTCGCCTTTCAACCAGCAATGAGCTGGGTTTTTCCAGCCCGTGAGTCCTGCGTGCCCGGGGGTTGTCTAAGGCGGTGAGGGGATTGCAGGGCTGGCACAGCTATCGCCCCAGCACTGGGCAGGCTGTGGGGTCCCAGGTTCGAGACCAGCCGAGGCAACTCAGTAAGACCCTGTCTCGGAATGAAGAGAAAGTGCTGGGGCTGGAGCTCCGTGCAAAGGCCCTGGGTGCATTCCCAGGACTGGGGGGAACCCAGAGAGGGCGATGCCCACAGCCAGGGCCCCCCATCGCCTGCGACCTGGAGGCAGAGGACTGAGCGCGGTGGTGACCTGCTGTGCGAGGCCAGGGCACAGAGGCCCTCTGCCCACCCGTGACCCCCTCGCTGGTTTGCTGCTGTTTGCAGGGCCTGGTGGGACGCAGCCCAGGTCGGCCGGGAGCACGCAGCGACCCTCCTGCCTCGGCCTCCCGAGTGCTAGGATGACAGGCGCGGGCCACCGTGCCCGAGGACCCCCAGGAGCCCAAGGGGTGCACCCACCCCTCCTGCCCCTTTTATGGAGCCGCAGCGGGGCAGGGAGCCTGAGGCGCCCAGAGCAGAGGGGCCGCGGTGGGCGGAGGCCGGAGGCGGGCACCTGGCGGCCGAGCCCAGCTAAGGAGCTCCCTGCGGCAGCTATTTTTAGCTCGGCTCCTCGGGAGGCCTAATCGCTCCGGCCGCTCCTGCAGGGCTGCCATGGAAACGCGAGCCCTCCCCGTCCCCGTGCCCGGCCGGCTGGCCGTGTGGCCCAGTGGTGAGCGCTCGCTGCGTGCACAAGGAGCCCTGAGCGCCGCCTCCAGCAGGAGCACGGCTGGCAGCCACAGCCCCGGGAGGCTGAGGCAGGACAGTCTCGGGTTTAAGGCCCTGAGGGCAGGATGCTGGGAGGAAGCCACACAGCTGCCCCCAGCTGGGGGACCCCAGCGGACCCCACCTCGGCTCCCGCTCTTCCCCAGGCTCACCCTGGCTTCAGGGAAGGGAGGGAGCCAAGGTCAACGCGCCCACCCGGGTATAATTCGCCCGGGATGAAGTAAACACGAGCGGCCTGTCTGCAGCCGCCGAGGGTCACCGTCCGGGCTCCAGGCAGAAGTTGGGCTCCGCGCGTGGGAGAGGGGACCTGGGACAGCCCGGCGGTGCTGGGGCCTGGTGTTCCCGTGTGCCCCAGCGCTGCCCAGCAGGGCCTCCTGGAAGAGCCTGGTTATCCAAGGCCGCCTGTGTATGCACCGAGCCAGGAGCCGGGCTCCAGCACGGCCACCTGGTCCAGGGCCGGGGGCCTGGGCACCGGCATGGGGCCCGCTGGGCGCAGGGCATGTCCCTGGCACTGGCCTGTGGGACGCGGGGCGTATGGCGGGAGGCTGAGGCAGGAGGTGCCCGGTGCCAGTTAGGCTGTACCCCGGCAGGCGGAGGAAGGTGGTGCCCGTGTGATCCAGCACACGTGAGGCTGAGGCAGGACAGTCTCCAGTGCCAGCCCAGCCTGGGCTGTTTCATGACTTGCTGAGACCCTGTCTCAAAAGTGAAAAGAGCCGGAGATGTGCCAAGGCCCTGGGCTTCACCCTCAGCAGGAAAACAGAAAAGCCCAGGAATTCAAGGGAGGGGAGGGAGGGGTGCGCCCCCTCCCAGGCTCAGGGCGGTCGCGGTTACCATGGCACCCTCAGCAGCTCTATATGCATTCCAGGGCCCGGTCCCCCGATTTATACACACAGCCACTCTGCTCAAAAAACCACAAAAATACATATACATCCGACTTCGGTGATGCCGTACAGAGCCGCATTTTTAAAAATAAATCTGTCCGGTTGCAAAGGCCGCAGAGGAGGGCCCGGCTGGGCAGCCGCGGCGGCTGGCACTCGGGTGAGCTGCAGGGACAGATTTCTCAACCCGGTGACTAATCCTGGGGGCGGACTGAGGGAGGCCCCTGGGAGGCCACAGCTCAGGTCGCATGGGCCCAGGCTGGGGGAGGGGCAGAGGACAGAGCCCGCTCCTGGGTCACCATCAGTCAGTCTGCAATCAGTGTGACTTTTTTTTGGCATGGAGAATGGAGCTCATGACCTCATGCTTGCCAGGCAGGGGCTGTGCTGTGAGCTGCGTCCCATCCCCAGGCCCCCATTTTTTTGTGTTTTTTTTGTCCTTTTGAGACAGGGTCTCTCTATGCAGTCCAGGCCGGCCTTGAGCTCTCTTTGCAGCCCAGGCTGGTCTCAAACTTGCAAGGATCCTCCTGCCTCAGCCTCCCGAGGGCTGGGATGACAGGCGTGCGCCACCACGCCCGGCTATTTTTTCTTTTTCTTTCCTTTTTTTTTGTCTAATATTTTTAAAGGAAAAAAGAATTTCAAAACAAGATAAGGGAGGGTAACAGTGGTTAACATTTTGCGTGTTGTTATCTGTAAATTAGTTAGTCAGAGTACAAGATGTCAGCATTTAATTGTCCAAACAATATTAGCACAAACATTTCTTTTCAATGAACTAAGAAAAAGTAGTGTAACCATCTTAACTCTGATACAGACAGACAGACAGACAGACGTGTGTACACCTCCATTCACACCTTCCCCTCCCTTCTCTCCTCCATCCCGGCTTCTCCCCATTTTACAGTGTGCAGAGTACACTTTGGATCTCATTTACTCTTTCAGCGTCTCACACTAGGGAGGCAAACATGCATGTCACAACATTTCTCAGTATTTAATTAACATGGTATGGGACGTGGGATCAAACTCACACCTCACCCTTGCCAGGCAGGCGCTGTGCCACCGAGCTGTATCCCCGGCCCAGTATCCGGCAGTGTGCTGAGGGTTCCGGCCACATGGGCCTCCCTGCTAGGCTTTATGTGCCGGGCTCTGTCCTGCCCCAGGGCCTTTGCACATGCTGTGCCTTCAGCAAGTAGTGCTCTTTTCCTAGTTTCCCTTGGCTGCCTCCTTCTCTCAAGGCCTCTCAACTATTAGAAAGTATTTTGTTTGTTGCCTTGTTTTCTGCTTGCCTTGCTAGGCCACGTGTGGGTCCCACACAGCTGGGATGACTGTCGTACCCTCAGCTCTGTCCCTGCTACTTGCAGAGCTACCTGGGGTGCAGTAGGTGCTCAGTAAATCTCTGCTGAATGAACAGTGTGAGGCGTGGAGGTATCACCCAGCGCTTCCCCTTCCCTGCAGCTGTTCAGGCTACAGGTTAAGTCCAGGCCCCCACCTCTCTGTCCACCCTGCCTCCCTCTCCTCTCACAGCCGGCCTGTCACCAGGCAAGGAGCGAATGACAGCACACGGGAGGCTGAGGCAGGAAGATCGCTGCAAGTTTGAGGCCAGCCTGAGTTACCCAGGGAGACCCTGTTTCCATCAACCAAAACGTGGTGTGTGAGGGGAGGCTTCAGAAACGGTTTTCTGGTGGGCGGACCTTGTGGGCAAAACCTGGCTCTTTGAAGGACAAGGTGACTTCACGGGGGACTGTTTGCCTTTTTTTTTTTTTTTTTAGCGTTGGGGCTGAAACTCAGCGCCTGTCCATACTCAGCAAGCGCTCACCACAGAGCTACACTCCCAGCCCCCCCGCCCCTTTTTTTTCTGGTATCGGGAATGAAGTCACAACCTCACGCTTGCCAGGCAGGCACTTACGCCGCTGAGCTAAACCCCCGGTCTCTCACAGCCCTTTTTTGCTTCTTTAAAAACAGCATCTCACTAAGCTGCCCAGGTTAGCATGGAACTTGCGATCCTCCTGCCTCAGCCTCCAGAGCGGCTGGACAACCGGAGTGCACCCCTCCATCAGGCTCACTTGTCTCTTTGGAGGAGAGGCTTCCAAAGGCAGGCTAGGAGTCCACACTTCACCCCGTTTACAGTCAGCCACTTCAGAAACCCTTTGGAACCCTTCCCTGCTGCAGGACAGAGCGGGATGCCCCAGCCAGGGCTGCGCGGATCGAATAGGAGTTCACCTGACACGGGTGGTGGTGAAAAGTCCCAGCTTCACCTGCGGGAGCGAGGAGCCCCAGAGGGAGGCGGCGGACTCTGTGCTCGCGGGCGTCCTCTGGTGGCCGTTGCGGGGTAGAACAGCTCACAGCGACTCCGTTCTGTTGCCTACAAGACGCCGCAGTATGGATCCAGAGCGGCCCTAAAGCCGGTTGTGTTAAAGGCTCGGCCTCCCACTCGGCGCTATTGAGAGGTGGTGGCACCTTTAAGAGGCGGGCCCAGTGGGAGGAAGTGACGTCACGGGGCGTGGCCTGAGTCTTCAACTGGCCAGCAGAGGGCGCTGTGTCCCAGGCGCCCTGCAATGGTGGTCCTTTAGCCGCTCAGATCCGCGCTGTCAGCATCCGAAGGGGCGGGCCTGCCTCCGGGAGGGCTCAGAGCCCCACCGGGACCGCTTTGTCCGGCACATGGGGGACACAGGGTCCCCGCTGTGGGCTCTGCGCTTCTCAGCCAGGTCGTCCTGCAGCTCCCGCGCCTCCTGCCTCAGCCTCCTGCACAGCGGCACGTCGCCGCGCTGTCCTCCGGCGCCTCCAGGAGGAGCGAAGCCAGGCTCGGGAGCGAGCATCGGCCCGGACTGGCCTCCCCCACCGCACCCCCGGCCTCCTGGGCCCCCAGAGCTGTCACCAAGGGGGACCCGGGGGCCTGGACTCGCTAAGCCAGCCCGCGTGTCCGGGCCACTGGGCGGGGACAGGGACGGGGTGACAGTAGGGGAGAGGGGGTCCCCGGGAGCCGGGCAGGGACTCGGCAGTGACCGTGCGGCCCCGCCCGCACAGTGCCCGCAGGTGAGTGGGGAAACATACGCTGCAGAGATAATAATGTACATAATGAATGCCGCAAAGGAACAGAAGATACGGTGTGAATACGAACCAAGCTCCGCGGCCCTGCAGATGAGGACTGAAGGGGGATGGGCACCTGGAGGCAGCCCCCCCCCTCCGTGCAAAGGCCCTGGGGCCAAACCCAGGCCAGCTGCCCTGGGAGGGAAGACGCAGGCCTCCCAGAGTGCTTATTTCTTTTAATTTTTATTTTATTTTACTTTGTCTTTTGAGACAGGGTCTTGCTATGCAGCTCAGGTTGGCCTTGAGCTCACTTTGTAGCCCAGGCTGGTCTCGCACTCCCACTGACCCTCCTGCCTCAGCCTCCCAGAGTGCTGGGATGACAGGTGTGGGAGACAGGGGCCTGGAGAGAGGCACAAACAGCCAGAGATGTGGAGACAGAGACCCAGGGGGAGACCCTGGGAAGAGAGACGCTCAGAGACCGTACAGAGACAGAAACAGGGCGAGAGGGCTGGTTTAAACAAGAGGTCGGGGTTCCCTGGCTTCGGGTGAACCAAAGGTGCCCCCTTAGGACCTGGGGTGCCTGGCTTCCTCAGCCCTAGGATAGATTCCCCTTTGCCCTCCTGGCGCACAGACCGGGCTGGTGGCCAGCGCAGCGCGGGCAGCGGGCCCCATGGAGCCAGACTGGCTGCCAAGTCTCACCCGAAACTCTTTGAGGCCCAGACTTGCACCCCGGGGTGGAGACCAGAGCCTGAGAGGCCCTGGGGGCCCCGTAGGCAGCGAGGCTCCACCCCACCCCAGCTGTTTCACAGCCCAGGACATGGAGCTCCAACTTGAACTTCTTTTCAGACCCTGGGTCTTTTATTCAGGACAGAGGACGGATGGTCCCAGGCTTCAGAGCTGAGTCTTCATACTATTGGGAGGGGCCACAGACCTCTCCCGGTTTTGGGCATCAGGGCCGAGATGGAGGGAGAGAAATCTGGAGCAGCAGGAGCTCAGAGGAAAGTGGAGGCTCTTCTTGGATGCATGTAGCATTGAAGCCAGGGCATTGAAGGTGAGGCACTGAAGGATGAACAGGAGTTGGCCAAACTTGTGGAGGAAACATAAACCCAACGGAAGGTCCTGTGGCCAGAATTCAGGGAACATGCTGATGGAGAAGCAGGACAGGTTGATGAGAGCGCCAAGCCAAGAGCCCTCTACACAACGGTCCCCCTGACCCTGCCATCCCAGGTCAGGCCTGAAGCTCAAAGAAGTGCGCCTCTGCCTCCTGCTGCCCCTCTCCTCCATGGACCAAGCTTCTGGTGACCAGGCCAGGCTTGTGCCTCAGTTTACCAATCTAAAACAAGCGATGCTGGAAGCCATTTATGTGTCTGTGTCCATCATGGGACGGGCAGGATGGGAAAGGAGTCAGAGGTGGAAGGAACAGGGAGAGGGGGACACGGGCCGCACCCCGCTCCGGCTGCCACGGGGGGGGGGGGGGGGGCGGCAGGACCACATTATGATTCCAGCGCACGCTGGAGCTTAGGCAATAGGTGCTGATTTGCATGCGATTTGCATGTAATTTGCATATTGTTTGTTAAATGTCAAAACGGCCTGTGAAGGCTTCCTCCCACCCAGGCGCTCCCCGCTCCCGCAGGGCTGGCCTGGACTGGGGACCCGCCGCTGGGGTGGCCGTGACGGAGGAAGGCGGGGGTGGCAGAGGCCTGGGGCACAGACCCGCCTGGGGAATGGGTGTAATAACCACGCAGATTTCTTACAAGTCAGGGCCCGCGCGGTGTAGACCTGGGGAAGGAGCTGGGGGGCTAGGAAAGGTCCCCAGGAGTGGAGGGGGCTCTGGGCTCCCTAAGCTACGGGACATTTAGTCCGTGCCCCTACTCTGTGTCCCTGAAGCCATCTCGTGCCTCAGTTTACCCACACAAGAAGCAGGCACAGAACCTCCCCCTCAGCAGCAGGCCCTGAAGGCTTTGGGGAGCAGGTCGGGGTAGAGCCCCAACAGGCGTGGGCGCACAACAGCCCAGCCTTGAGGGGGAAGGCGCGCATGCGCATGAGCATGCTCAGAGGGGAAGCCGGCGGGCCCCGCGGCCCTGCGCAGTCCACACCCTGGGCAACAGCACAGTCCGAGCGCAGCGCTCCCGCTGGCCACCATTTATTCTCCACCTGTCCCCGAGCTGGGGTCTGTGGCATCTGTTCCTGAAAACGTGATTCCTTCCAGACTCCGGAGCCTTGGACCGTGCACACTGGCCCCCCACTCGTCCCCAACCCCGGGTCTGCACCAAGTGGCAGACGCCGCCCGAGGATGGGTTTCCATCCTGAATGCCACGTCATGCTTCGCCCTTGCTGGTCCTGCTCCCCGAAACCCACGCAGGGCCCAAGGCTGCGGGATCTCAGGACCAGAGGGACCCCACCGAGGCAGCGCACACAGAGAGCAGGGAGGAGGGATCCTCATTTCTGTCATCTGGGGGTCCCACAGGGCGGGCTGCTCCTGGCCCAGCAGAAATCTCTCAGGGCTTCCTGGAGGAGGTGGAATCCTGGCACGGAGCAGAGGTGCGGCTGGCAGAAGGGACAGACCCGGAGGGCCAGGGCCCAGCTCCTGTCCTCTCCCTGGAGGACACACGGTGGCTCGCACAGTCTCCAGGCCACAGGGCCCAGCCCGCCTGCTCCTGGCTCCTCCTCGGTGGGCAGGGCGCAGGCAGCTGCGTCCTGGGTCCGGGTTGCGAGTGACCGAGGCAGTGGACGCTCGGTGGGCTGGCCGGTGTCTCAGTCCTCCCGGGAGCCCAGAACCTGTGACCCAGGAGGGGAGAGCACAGGTCAGTCCGGGCCTGGCCACCGCCCCTCCCCACCATCCGCAGCCAGGTGGCCGGGGCACAGCTTGCGCCCCCTGGTGGCCATTTCCGGAATCGCAGGCGAGGCCCGCGCTGGAGCCTAGGGGTGAAGGCAGGGGTGCGCCTGTGATCCCAGCCCGCAGGAGGCCGAGGCGGGAGGGTCGCCGCGAGCTCCAGCCCAGCATGGGCAACACAGTGAGTTCGAGGCCAGCCTGTGCTACATAGCGACACCCCCTGCCTAGAGAAAAATAATAAATGACACTGAAAAACAGCCCAGAGAGGCCTAATTTCCCCAAGGTCCCGCAGCAAGCTGGGGTGACCCTGCCCAGCCCATTCCTTGGCCCCCAGGGGTGACGGGTAGGGAGGCGGTGACACGAACACAAACAAGCCAGAGTCCCCTCTCTCGGCCTCAGTCTCCCCCAAATGCTAAGGCCCCTTCTGAGTCTCCGGGCGCGTCTGCCTTACTTGGAGGGGGTTCGGGGCTCCTGGGAGCTGAGGAGACGCCCCCGAACGTGTTCCTGAGCCGGCCTCCTCCCAGAACCGGCACCTGATGTCCCACGGCAGCCAGAACTACCTGTGGAGGGGACGGAAATTACGGGTCTCGGCACGCAGGGCCCTGGCCGCGGCCTTCAGGGCCTCCGCGCTGAGCTGAGCGGGGAACCCAGCGCAGCCAGGACGCACCGGGCAGGCGCGCGCACGCGGTCCCCTGGGGTCTCCCGAGTCACCCCGGGGCGGTGCGGGTGAAGGGGCACAGGGTGGGGCTGGGGTGTGGCCTGGGGACGCAGGCAGGCCGGGGAGACTCGGAGGCGGCGGCACAGGGGGAGAACAGGGACGCACGGCGCCGGGCGCGGTGCTGCGCTCCCGCCATCGAGGCCCGGGGAGGCCGAGGCAGGAGGGTCGCTGCGGTTTCAGGGCCACCGCGGGCTGCAGGGGGCGACCCGGCCTCAAAAAGCCGAACCCTGAAACCAAAGGCCGCCCAGGAGCCCGAGCCCGGGCGGGCGGAGGAGGGGGCGGCGGGGACGGCCGGCAGGCCGCGCGCCCCGAACCACGCACCTGGGGTCCCGCAGCAGCAGCAGCACCGCGCCGTCCTGCAGCCGCGCCTCGCGCACCGTCTGGGAGTCGCGCAGCGCGCGCGCGTTGTAGTAGAAGGTGCGGCGCCACGAGCCCACGCCGCGGCCCACGAGCTGCGCGCGCACGTCGCTCAGGGTGTCCCCGGGCCGCACGGTCAGCGGCAGCAGCAGCGCCTCGTCCGCCAGGTGCACCTTGATGTGGAAGCGCTTCCAGCGCCACAGCCCCCAGCGCAGCCCCTCCATGGCCACCCGGCGGCCGGCGGCAGCGCGGGCACGGGCGGGGCGGGGCGGGCGAGGCGGGCGGGGTCACCTGGCGGCGCTGGCTCGGCTCCGCCGCCACGCCCCGGCCTGGCCCGGAAGTCCCGAGCTGCAGTTCCCCAGGGAGAAGCGTGGGCTTGGGAGGCTGAGGCGGGAGGCTCTCTGACCCACCCCGTGACGGCCTGTGTCCCAGAACAAGGGCAGCGGCCGAGGAGAGGCGAGCAGCGAGACAGAGGTGGAGGTGCGAGCTGCCACCCTGCGGAGTCAGAGACCAAGGACGCTGCAGGCCAAGGAGGGCACAGCCACAGCCGTGCAAAGGCCCTGGGGCAGCACGGAGCACGGTGAGCTGATGCAGCGCCCTGGAGGACGGGGGGGCGGTGAAGACCTCTGCTGGGCCGTGGGCGGCACGGGAGCTGCGTCAGGAGGCAGGTGGGCGGAGAGGACGAAGGCCCTGACTCACATGCGCCTCGTTTTTGAGGCACTGGCTAGCACCTACCTAGCCTCCCTTCGACACAGTGCCTGCAGCCCCTGCACACCCGCAACCTCAAATCCGCCCTCCAGAGGACGCAGCCGCAGGGACTTCCCTGGCCCGTGTGGCCAGCGCTCCGCAGAGGGACATCCCTGTGGGGTTTGGGTTGGGGAAAGCTCAGGAGGTGGACATGTTTTTCCAAAGTGGTGGGCATTGGGGCCGGGCTTCAGGGGATGAGTAGTTCAGTATCAGGCCCAGGTCACCAGCTGCACAGCTCCGCGGACCCGGGGACGGCAAGGCTGTGGGCACCCCGTTTCAATGGGCTCTCCCATCCCTCTTAGGAGGGATCCCAGCACCCCGAGAGCTGTCCCTGCTGCCCCACCCCCCGCGGACTGGACAGACCAGTTCAGGGTGTGGATGCTGGCGTGGCCTCGGCCATGTCTGTGGTCCTCCCTTTACCTCTGTCTCTCTCCCTTTCTCGTTCGGTTTCTGTTTGATTCCCTGTGGGTGGGTCCTTTGGAAGGCGGATTTGAGGTTGCAGTGTGTGGGGCAGCTCCTTATGTACCCCAGGCTGGCCTCCAAGTTGCAGCGACCCTCCTGCCTCAGCCTCCCAAGTGCTGAGATGACAGGCGTGTGCCCAGCCAGACAGATTTTAAGGGTGGCTAAAACCAAGATGAATTCCAGGCAGATTTCCTCTCCCAACACCCACCCAGGAAAAGCTGTAAAGCTATGAGAAGAAAACCTGAGTGTTTAATAATAATAATAAGCAACCCAGTGTACTGAAGCTTAGCATTAAGCCAGGAACCTTTAATTAAAGGATCTGTGGCCAGGCGTGGTGCCCGGGAGCACTTGGGGTGGGAGCCGAGATAGGAGGGTCTGAACTGCGTAGCGAGACCCTGGCTAAAAATCCAAACCAAACCACCCCTCGGTGCACTGCAACGGCTCATGCCTCTTTCCAGCTCCTTGGGAGGCGGACGCAGGAGCACCTCAGGTTCAAGGCCGGCCTGGGCCCCTTCTCCTGTTTCAACATCTAAAGAGGGCTAGGAGTGGAGCTCGGAGCCAAGGCCTTGGGTTCCATCCCCAGGACTCCAAGAAAACAAAACATGAAAGTTAATGCACTGCCGCTGGGTTTGGGGGTGACTCACTGTGTCTTTCTGGGGACGTTCCCGGGGGCACAAAGATGATGCCCTTGCCGGGCCATTTAGCATGCGGCCACACTGGCCCGGAGCGCCCAGCCCAGGAGGGAAACTGAGGCCCAAGGGCGGCGCTGTACACTCGCTGGGGGAGGTGGTGGGCTCCATTGTCCACAGGGTCGGGTCACCCTGGCCTCAGCCACCCGGCTTGTTTGCCAAGCTCCAGGTGCCACCCCTGCACCTGCAGGCATCCAGCCCGGTCCAAGTGACTTGGGGACCTTTGGCTGTGACAGCTGGCAGCCACGCTGCACTGCGTGTGTACAGTGCCAGCTCCGGTTGGTCCTGGCGTCCTTCTCAAGACAGTGCAAAAGCCAGGCGGCTATGGGTGCCAAGCCCTGCACCTGAGCCACGTGATGGCAGCGACCGTGCTTTCTGCCACCCAGATGCTGAGCAGAGCAGAGCCCTGGCAGAGGCTCCAGACTGCAGGGCAGGGCAGGCCCCACCTCACGCAGCCCAGCTCGGGAGAGTGCTGGGCCCCCAGGGATGCGCCAGTCAGCACACCTGGCGGAGTCCCTGGTGCCCGGAATAGGGCCTGGCTCTGACTTACGCATCTGCGCATGCTGTTCAGAGACTACAACGCTGAACATGAGATTTTCTGCACATCTGACTTCTGCGGCAAGGGGAGAGTTCTCAGGGCTCCCGCAGACCCCCAGTTAACGGATGTGGGGGCGCTCTGAAGAGCAAGTGAAGCCAGGTGAGGTGGGGCACACTGGCCATCCCGGCACTCGGGGAAGCCGAAGCAGGAGGGTCTCAAGTCTGAGCCCAGCCTGAGCAACTTTGTGAGGCTGTCTCAAAATAGCTCAGTGCAGAGGCCCTGGATTGTATTCCACATACTTGGGGCTGGGGGTACACGCAGGACAGAGGCCGGCATCCCGTGCCCCCAAACACACGCACCCCAGCCGGGCTTTGGCCGGGGGCCTCTGCAGCCTGCATCCCAGCAAAAGCGGCCTCGGCGCGCAGCTCCGGGCGCCACCTCGTGGCCACGCGGGGCAGCGGCGGGCCGCGAGGCTGTTCTGGCCGACGGGAGCCCTGCTCTTCACACCGGCCACGCCCTGGCTCTTGTTACTATTTTGACTTTGACACAAACTCTGTCTCTCAACTGCCAGGCTGAGCTGGACCCTGGCATCCTCCTGCCTCAGCCTTCCAGTGTGGGGGCTACAGGCGTGCCTGGCACACCAGGGCTTTGGGGCTGTTCCCTTTTTCCTTCTGAACTTCGAGTTTCAAACGAGCCGAGCAGGAATCACCTGCGGCCTGACGAGGGCTTTGCAGGCTCGGAGCTTCCTGCAAAGCCAGCTGTGACCCGACGCTGCCGTGTGCTGTGATGCCACCTCTGCTTAGCACAGGGTCTCCCGGAGCTGCCGGGGCTGGCCTCACACTTGTGATCCCCCTGCCTCAGCCTCCCCCCGCCACACCAGGCTTCCTATTTTCCCTCTCGGTTACAGAGGCCCTGCCGCCTCCTCAGCTTCCGCCGCCACCCCAGTGCTGCCAGGGCGCCTCCCTTCCAATACAACTGTTTCTGAGGTGGGTGCAGCACTGGCCAGCACTGCCTGGGTCCATCGCAGCACCCCATGCACGCACATGAACCCCGCTTTATGGGGAGATCACGGACCTGTGCCCCCCCCCAGTCGGTGCATGGCTGTGACCCCTCGGAGCCCCCCTCCCGGGCGCTCTGCACAGGCCACACAGGAGGCAGGGGCGGGTTTTCTGAGACAAGGTCTCGCTGTGTAGACCTCCTGCCTCAGCCTGTGAGTGCGGGGAGGACAGGCGTGCGTCACCATGTCCAGCTTCCAGGGTGACGTCTGCATAAGCCAAGGACGCCGAGGGGCGCCAGTCCCCCAGAGGCCTCCTGGCCCCCGCCAATCAGAGGCTGTAGTGTGCGGGCTGGCGGCAGGCTCGGGGTTCTCTCTCTGGTTTCCTGCAGCACCAGGGACTGAACACAGGCCCGCAGCTGCAGCCCTTTGTGACACAGGCTCCAGGCTGGCTCCAATGTGGGATCTTCCTGCCTCGGCCTCCTAGGTAGGGGAATGGAAGGCCAGTGGGTTTCTGGTCTGTAGGGGGCACCAGAGCAGTGGCTCTGTCTGCAGCGCAAACACCTCCATGGCTGCCTCCAAACCTCGCACCTGGGGACTGCGGGCAATGGGGGGACCCGGCCCCTGGGACCTGCGGCACGGCACGGCTAAGAGGGCACAGGGGCGGCCAGCACTGCTGGGTGACCTCCATCTGCTCCCTGCTGGGATGGGGCTGGTGCCAGGCAGCCAGCCCTGTGTCGGCTGTGTCCTGGCCCGGTCACAGAAGCCCGCAGCGCATGGCCCTGGCTGGCACCATTCTGTCAGACGGCACTGCAGGGGAAAAGCAAAGAGGCCGCGGGCACATGCACTGCCTGAGGGCTGTGCCCAGGACCCCATGCCCAGCCCGCCCCCACCCCCGGAGGTGCCACGCTCAGCACACGCGCGCTGCGAACTGTACACCTTTATTCGTGGAAAATGGAATGCCTCGTTAACAGAAACCTGGGCGTAAAAACGGCAGGACAGGGGCGAGTTTGTTACAGAGCGCGTTCACGTCGCCCACCACGGCAATCTAGTAGCGGCGGGTGAAGTGCGGGTAGGGGTGAGGGTGAGGGTGAGGGTGCGGGGCTCTGCTGGCCCGGTCCTGGCCGGTCACTCCGCCGCCCTCCAGGCTTCCGCCCGGTACCACGTGGCCCTGGGAGTGTGCGCCCTGCGCGAAGCCGCCGCGCCTACGAGAGAGCGGGATCCTGCGGGCACTGCTCTGGCCGAGTCCCCGCTCCTGCGTCCCCGGGACGGCACAGGGCTGCGCGCTAAGCTGCTCCTGGGCTCCTTTCCACTCCCCTGGACACAGGGCAGACGGAGGGAGGGAGGGAGCCTGGGGCGCGGCCGCACTGCTTACCCCGCCACGCCGCCCCGACTTGCCGCGTGCCCCGGCCCCGAGGGTCCGCTCAGGCCCCGCTCGGCACCTGCAAGAGAAGTGGTTTACAAACCCAGCCCTGCCCTGCACGCCAGGGATCCCCCTGCGCTCCCCACGTACCTGGCCAGCGCGTGTGCTCCCGGCCAACGACGCCTGTGTCCACTGCACCCTGCCAGGCACGCGCCGGGGGCTCCTCCAGCCGCGGGCTGTGCTCAGCCCAGTCTCGTCCGCCCCTGTGTGGGATAAAGGGGTCAGCGGCCAGCTGCAGGCCAATGTGTGGTGTGGACGCAGGAGCCCAGCAAGGTGGGTGGGAGCGGGAAGGCCACGACCTGGCTGCACTGGACAGGCCAAGGGCCGTGAGAGGGGACTCCGGTGCAGGGCCAGGACCCCGGAGCCGGCATGGGGCTCAGGGCGCAGGGCGCTCCGAGCAGTGAGCACCGTTCTGCTCTTCTCTGAGCCCCGGGCTGGCTCTGTACACCCAGGCCAGGCCGAGGACTCAGCTCAGCAGTACGGGCCTGAGCTTGGTTTCCAGTGCCCCCATAAATAAATAAATAAAAATAAATAAGTAAATTACTCAAGGCAAAAGGCGGGAGAGGCAGCTGGGGGATGGCACCTGCCCTAGCTGGGACTGTCACCAGCGCTTCAAAAACAAAGACCAACCCAGAAAGAGAGAAAGCGGCTGCAGCCAGGGCGGCAGCCCCCCGGCCCACAGCGGAGCACTGCCGCCCACTCCCGCCGGACTCAGAGCCGGGGCTGGCCACAGGCGGGAGGGCACATGGCCAGTCCGGCGCCCAGACAGAGGTGTCCATCAAGAGCTACAGGACAGGCATGGCCACGCATGCACCCAAAGGCCCCTGGGCAACAGTGTGGAGACGGATCGTGCCGAGCTGGCGGGAAGAAGGACTTGGGGGCCAGCTCCCCACACAGACGCTGCCCCTCACCAGCAGGAGGGCCCTGGTGCCCCTGGAGGCCCCTCACCTGGGAGGCGGCGGCAGCCCCCGCCCGTCACTCAGCCTCTTGTCGGAGCCATAGCCGCCCCAGCCGTCTCGTGAGTCCCGGCTGTGGCGCTCAGGGTGTGCTCCGTGGCCGTGGCGCTCGTCCATGTAGTGCTACAGAGTGGAGGGACAAGGGGACACTGGGGCCTGGCAGGGTACCTAGTCTGACACTGCACACGTGGGGACAGCCGACACCCTGGGAGAAGCATCGAGCCGATGCCCAGCCTGCCCTCCTCAGCCAGGGATTGAGGCCGCTGGTGTGGCCGCCCTCTCGATGTGCCGAGTCCCCGGCCGCACTCACCTGCCCGTCTCGCTCACCCATCCCTGGCCGGGCCCCTTCCCTCCTGCGGAAGGAACAGAGCACGCTGGAGCCACGCTGCTGCCCGAGGGAAGCGCTCGGCCAGGGGACGCAGGTGGGGACTGTGAGTACTGGACAGTGGACATCGGGGCCTCCATGCCTGGGTGCCCGCAGCCCTGCGGCCTCAGGCCGCCCCATCAGAGCCCTCCCTGCTGCCCCCCAGGAGGTGGAACCTCGAGGGCCCAGGCAGCACAGTGCTCTCAGAGGTCGGTGTCTCTGCATAGAGCTGGGTCTCCATGGCCAGCAGAGGGGACTGGGGTGGCATCAGAGTAGAGAAGTCCAAGGGGCAGTGCGCTCCCGGGGTTCCCCCCACTGTTCCCATGTCCACATCCCTAACCCAACCTGTGGTCACCAGGGGGTTCCAGGCCCAACGAGGACCAGCGGCCCAGTGGGCACTCCTGGGAGAGGAGCAGTGACCCCTACCATCCGCAAGGGGGTCCACAAGGGGCTGCCCTGTGTCGGGCGTGGTGCTGTGCAGCAGGGGTGGTGACAGAAGTGACCCTGAGTGCCCACCACCCAGAGTCCCGAGGGCGGCCAGTGCGGGACGCTGACCTGTCGGCGCCGTGGTCCTGGTACTGGCCCCGGTCGCGGTGGTCGAAATCGTGGAAGCGGTGATCGGGCCGGGGGAAGTCAGCACGGTACCTGTCCTCCAGGGCCACTCGCTTACTGTCCGGCCAGTAGGCGTCCTCTCGCCTATTTGCGTTTCAGAGGTGTGAAGCTCGGGTGTGACCCAAGCAGGCGCGGGGCTGGCCTCCAAGCACCCCACGCCCACCGCTCGGGGCTCATAACCTGAAAGCCCCCAGACTGCCTGCCAGAGGCCCAGGGCACCGCTGTGACAGCGATGACGGCCATGCGGGGACGCCCAACTCCACCCATGGTCCACCCGGGTCTGTGCGAAGCCGAGGGGAGGTCGGGCTGCAGGGAGCGCGCTCCGCTTAGAGCCCTCGACGCGCCCACCTGTCCGGCTCGTCCACCTGTCCGGCTCGCCCACCTGTCCAGCTCGTAGGGCCGCCGCAGCGCGGGCCGCCGCTCCTGCTCGTAGCGCAGCTGCTCCTGCTGGCGCCGCAGCTCCTCTCGCTCGCGGTGGATGCGCTCCTGCTCCTTCCTGCGCTCGCGCTCCACGCGCATGCGCTCGCGCTCCAGCCGCTCCCGCTCCATGCGCTCCCGCTCCAGCCGCTGGCGCTGGCACTCCAGGTGCAGCCGCTCGCGCTGCAGCCGCGCCTTCTCCTTGCGCTCGTGCAGGGCCTCCAGCCGCTGCTCCCGCTCGCGCTGCTCCCGCTCCCTGCGGGGGAGCCCCGTCAGCCGCTGCCATGCGGGGGCGCTGCCCGCGGAGGACCTGGGCTGGCTGCGGTGGCGCCTCGGGCAGACAGTACGCACCGCGGAGCGCAGGAGGGAGCTTCCAGCCGCCTGTCTGTCCCCGCCACCGTCACACCCTCCGTGCCCGCAAAGGCTCCAATAGGAAGCCAGGGCCAGAAGCCCGCCAGTGCGGCAGAAGGCATGAGGGACCCACGCCCTCGAAGGAAGCGTCCCGAGGGACCGGGGCCCAGGGGCCCCTGCTGCGGGGTGTCTGGACCCCGCCCAGCCTCCTGCCTCGCCGGGGGGGGGGGGGGGGGGGGGGGGGGGGGCCTGCGCTGCAGCTGTGCCCGCGCCTCGCAGATCGCATCTCGGAGAGGGCTCTGCTACATCCCCCAGGCTGGGCCGGAGGTGGCGCCCTTCCTGTCTCAGCCTCCCAGCGCACTTCGGCTTCTGGAAAGGGCTCCCTCCCTAGCAGGCGCCGCTGAGTCTGACAAGCTGGCCTGAGAACCAGGCAGCTTGGGTTGGGGCGTGCAGGGCAGCAGAGGACGCGGCAGGTCAGAGCCAGCCCCTCAGCCCCCAGGGACCCGGGAGCCCCGGTCCGGCTGCGCCCCTGCCCCGTTCGGCCCGGAAGGCGGCGTCCCCACTCACCGCCGCCGCTCCGTCTCCCGGATCTCCCGCTCCCGCTGGCGCTGGCGCTCGCGCTCCCGCTGCTCCTTGATCTTGTCGAAGGACAGGATGTCCCGCTGCTCCTTGCTCTCCGACTTGCGGTCCTGGCTCTTGGAGCTCTGCGTGGTGCAGTGGGCAGCGGGTCACGGCGCAGCATGCGACAGCAAGGTGCACACGCGTCAGGGACCGCGGCCTGGGAAGCTGCCACCCCGACGGGACAGGCGCCTCAGGTGCCAGCAACATGGTGGCAGCGCAGCTCTCCACAGGCCAGGGCCGGCGCGGGCTGTGACCGACTCAGCCCCCAAGCAGCCTGGCCGCTCACTCCCGGGCGCTGGCTCCACACTTCCGTTTTTATTCAGTAGTTAAGACACATGGCTTGCTTCGGTTCAGGCTCTTCCTGCCATTCGGCCTGGCCTGGAGCTCACTGTATCACCCGGGCGGCCTCAGAGTCACGGTGACCCTCCGGCCTCAGCTCCCAAGTGCTGGAATTACAGGTGTGCGCCGCCACACCCAGCCAAAAGGCGCATTTAATTACAAAACAGTCACCAGGGATTCAGCTCCGCGGCCTAAGCGCCTGCCTGGCAAGTACAATGTCCTCAGTTTGATCCTGGTACACAAATAAAAACCTGCGACCAAACCGATGAGCACGGAAGCTGCACCTGGGGCAGGGCAGCCAGGACGGCACAGGCACCTGCCACCTGGGAGGCCCAGCTGTACCAGCTGCCCAGGCCGTGGGTCTCGTCCACAGCCCGCCACTGCCCACCAGTGCCAGGAGGCAGGCTGATGGCCAGTGTCACCTTTCTGCTGCTGGCCCAGGCCCCCGGTACCCCTGACACAGACCTGGCCAAATATTTCCCTGCAGAGCAGTGCTCCTGAGGATGTTCCAGCATCCGGGACACCCTGGCCCTGGGACGGGGCCCAAGGGGAACCCCGACTCCACTCCTGACGGGCGGCTCCCCCAAGCTGGCCGCACCCAGGGCCTCTGGATGGGTGGAGGCGGGGCACTTCCTTCCCTGAGTGGGACAGGAGTCAGGTATAAAATGCCGAGCACTGGGATGGTGGCCCAGGCCTGGCAGCACAGCACCCCAGAGGCTGAGGCAGGAGGATCGGAACTGTTCAAACCCTGCCTGGGCTGGGGACGGAACCTTGTGAAGGCGCTGCCTTCCACCCCCAGTACTCTCCCGTCTCCCCACCCGAAGAGGCAGAACCAGGCTCAGCCACACAGCACGCAAGGAGCCAGGCATGGCGGCGCACTTCTGTTCCACCAGCATTCAGGAGGCCGAGGCAGGAGAACTGCTGCACGGTCCAAGGGGGTCTGGGTCACACAGTGAGACCCTGCCTCAAACCATCAGAGGTCAAGGGTCCTTTCTGTTGGTGTCTTCCCGCAACTTCTCCGTCCTGCTCCATCTCTGTGTAACCCCAGAGGAGGGGAACTGCAGCCTAACAGAACCCCACTCGCTTCCCTGTGGCTGTGTGACGCCGGGGGATGGAACCAGGGCCTCCCTCTTGTCACGCCAACACCTGCTCCTAAGCATGCGCACTGCACGCTCCGTGCCCTCAGGTGAGCATGTTTTCCATGAACACCCAGCAGCTGGCCAGGCTGAGGCCTTGATTTGATTTGTTTTCTTTGATCGCATTCCGTAGCCCATGCTGGCCCCAAACTCACAGCAACCCTCCTGCCTCAGCCTCCCAGTGCTGAGATTGCAGGTGCATGCCACCGTCCTAGCTGGTGTGCACCGTGTTGGAGTGGAGGAAGTGTGAGGAAGCGCTGTTTGGTTTGGCTGGGGGCGCACCTGAGCCTCGAGGTGCCCCAGGACACCGTGCAGGCGCTCCCATTCCCTCAGGGGGACCCAATAAGACCCGCCGGGTGTATCTGGGGCTGGCTCTGCCCGACAGCCGGTCCTCCAGGAGCCAGCTGGGGCACGTGCTGAGGCGGGGCCAGGACTCGGTTGTGCACCCCCACATGCTAAGGCCACCGGCACGCCTCCCCAGCTCGGCATGAGGGACCCCGTCCCAGCAATCCCTGGGGCCCAGCCTTGGAAAACTGGCGAGACCTGGTCTCCAAAAAGGGGCAGGGGATGTAATTCAACGTGTTCAACCCACAGACTGCCCACTGCCTACGCGGCCAGTGGGCCTACACGACCCGGAGCGGAAGCAGCAGGCACTCACCCGCTCCTTGGACCTGCTGGCGGTCTTCACGCTGATGACAGGCTCGCCCTTGGACTTGTCCATCACCACTGTGCGCTCTGTGCCTCTGCTTCCTGCTGGGAGGGAGACAGGTAGCACCTCAGCTCCCACAGCCCCGCCTCGAGCCCCCGCACTGGGACACCGTGGGCCCTGCACCCCGGGGAAGCGTGCGGCCACCCTGTGCACGGCCCGCACTGTGCCCCCCATCTCCACACAGCGTGGGATCTGGGTCAGGGCCTGGGGCCCGGGTGGCTGGCCAACGGGAGTGGCATAGCTGGGCTCGGCCGACACTGCGGTGGGAAGCAGCCCTGCAGAACCCCAAATCATTTGGGGCGATTTCTGTGATGCCGAACATTTGCAAAGCCTATTAACAGGGAACGCTGGTAAATCCCCAAGCAGCCGGCCCCGCTGGGGCTCCAGGGGCCCAGTGTGTCCCTGCCTTCTTTAAGAAGGGTTGGGTCATTTTCTGCCGCACACGAGGAGCTGCACACCAATCTGCTGGCCCAGAGCTGGTGAACTTTATTACAGGCAGCAGGACGGGCGCCTCCCTGACAGAGCTCCTGCGGCGGGCGCGTCTGCGGCGAGCTCTCAGCTCTCTCTCTGCTGCTTGAGCATCCGGGTCTTACTACGCCCCAGCTCTGACTCCAACTCTCCTGCCTCGGCCTCCCGCAGCTGGGACCACCCACGCCCAGCGGTCCTCTGTGAGCTGCGAGCCCCCCGAGGGCCCCCCTCCAGGTCTCTCTGGCCACCCGCCTGAGCCCTGGGCCACTTACAAGCCCCCACGGTCACCTGACTTAGTGACTCTGGCCTGGTCTGCAGGTCCTGCTTTCAGCTCGTCCTGGTCTTTTTCTTCCTTTTTAATGTCTTCTGGCTTTTTCTCTTCCTTTTTCTCAGCCTTCTCTTCCTTCTTGATCACGGTTCTAAGTAAAACATGGATGCCGCACCTGAGTGCCCAACGGTCCAGCACAGGGTGGCCTGTTCCCCTGGCTGCCCTGTGTCCTTGTTGCAGGCCCGAGAATGGCTGCGGTCACCGGTCTGTGCCATCGCCCTGGACAGAACCCTTTTCAGATGCAGCCCGAGTTCCCACCGAGTGAGTCCTGGTCTGCGCATGCCCAGAGGTTCAGCTAGAGACTGCCGCCTCCCAGGGGAGCGGAGACCCTGCCAGCTGCCAGCCACTTATGATCCGATCCGTTCCCCTACGTATGTGGGAAATGTCACTTCTAAGTGCTCCCCGATGGTGCGGCACGGAGCAAAGCCAGCGTAGGGAGCAGGCGGCCCCCTGCCCGGCCAACGCCTGCACCCCGAACTGGGAGAGTTCACAGGGCACGCGGGGTGCAGAGGCAGCCTCGCTGAGGGGCTCAGCTGCAGAAGGGCACAAAGGAGTGCGCAAGCTCCGCTTCCTGGTAAAGCCTGGAGCCAGCTGTTAGGTCAGTGAGGCCCAGGGGGGCCAAGGGGAGACCCAGGGCCTCCCGCGCACTAGGCAAGAGCTCTGCCTGTTCCCTTCCCAGCCCTCTCCTGTGTGTGTGTACCAGGACTCTAACTCAGGACCTGGAACTTGTCAGGCAGGCCCTTATGCCCCAGCCCTTTTCTTGTTTTTTGAAGCAGGGTCTTGCTGTGTAGTCTAAGATCCTCCTGCCTCAGCCTCCTGAATGCCAGAATTACAGGTGTGGACGACCACAGCCAGCCAGCCCTTTGTGGTTTTTTGGAGACAGGGTCTCACTGTACAGGTCCAGCTGACCTTGGACTCCCTCCCACCCTCCTGCCCGGCCAGCTGAGTGCCGCTCCCACAGGTCTGCAGCAGGCTGGGGTAAAACAGCCGAAACCTACCGCCCAGGAAAGGCCGCGGGGCAGAAGAGCCACGCAGGCTAAGCGCTGGCCTTGCCACTTCCTGGCAGCCCTGGTGTGGGCCAGCAGACACTTGCCGGCCGGCCCTTGTCACCCCCCTTCCCACAGCCACACTGGACGCTGGAAAGCGCACGCCCAGGACACGAGGACTGCCAGCCGCCCCCATCCAAACCAAGTTTGTTTCTCCACAGTGCGGATGGGCTGCTTCCCCCTGAACAACCTGTTACAGAACCAGAGCCCTCCTCCCACCGAGGCAGGTCACAGCCCTCCCAGCCGGCTCTGGGCAGCAGCCCTGCGGGGTGTGGTGGTGCATGCTGGCATCCTAGCCTGCCTACACCGTGGGACTTCTCAGCCACCCCCAAAGTCCTTGTGAACACCGATGACATCCACAGAGATGTTTACTCCGCACTTTCTCTCGAGTGAACCACCACCAAGACGGGATTAGTGTCGGCCCAAGGGCTCCGTTCTGAGACCGGACACGGGACAGTGAAGTATGCAGACAACCCGTGCTCCGCACCTCTCGCCCGAGCCTGACCTCTACCACGTGCACCCCCAAAGCCAGTCTGCAGACCTGACGGGAGGATGTGGACCCCTCGGCCATGGGGTGGGAGACACATGGCCCACCCTGGCAGAAGGCGGCACTGCAGGCCCCCAGGGAGTTTTAATTTTTGACCTAAGCAATGCAAACCCCCCAATCTGCCGCATACGGCACTGATGACCAGCTCAAGGTCGCCCTGCAGGTTGCGTCCCCCTGACAGCGTGCTATCTTTGGAAAACTGGGTTTGTAGCAGTTTCAGTGGTTAAAAGCAAGAAGGGCACAAAAATAGATGCAGAGAGGGAAGTGATGCCACGCCAGGCCCCAGGATGCCGGGAAGGAAAACAGAGGCTTTCGTCTTAGGAGGGCGTCTTTCAAGTGCCACCGAGTGCTGCCCACCCCGCCAGGGACCACCCTGCCCTTGGCAGGCCACGGACGCCTGACCCCAGGCTCGGGGGCTGGGACTGCCCTGAGAGGCCGGGCTCGCGCCCACTGTGGGGTCCCGGGGCTGCAGTCCCCCACCACCCCACCTTACTTTTCAACCTTGACCTCCACAGGGTGATGCCGCTCGGTGCTGGACGGCTTCTCCTTCTTCACCTCGCACTCTCTCCTGTCGGACAGCTTCTTCCCCGCAGGTTCGTTTTTGGCCTGAAACGCAGGACGGGCAGAGCCAAGATGGCAACCAGAGCCTGCGCTTTGTCAACCCCGCAAGCCTCGACAGCCGCGCGCGGCCTCACCTTCTCCACGGAGATCATCCTGCCGTGCAGCTCCGTCCTGTGCAGGTGGCTGATGCACTTGGTGGCCTCCTCCGCCGTGGACATGGTGACGAAGCCGTAGCAGCGGGCCCCGGGACTCCGGGCGTTGGTCACCACCTTGGCGCCCACCACCTGCCAGGAAGAGGGAGCCCTTTCTGTCACCCGAGCAATGGGAGCCTCACGTCGCTAACCTGCTGAGGGACGCGCGGGTTGTTTCTGCTCTCAGCTGCTTCCCCAGACGGGGCGCTGCGTGGCCACCTGGGAACCAGCTCTAAGGGGCATCTGTCAAACACTGCTTCTGACACCAGGCACCCTCACGGGGAGCGTGGCCGCCAACTTCCCCCCGCAGCTTACTATAGACTCCAGCGCTGGCCTGTGGGGCACAGACGGGCCTGACACACTGCTGGGCCCCTGCGGGCACCGTCACACCCGGGGGAGGGCAGCACCAGCACCCCACACCCTAGACCACGGGCGCCTGGCACACACATGCTTGTCACTGCCTTCTGCTTGCAGTTTCCAGACCCCAGGCGGGGAGGAGAAACTGAGGCAGGTTTCCGCTGAGTAGAAACAGAGCTGAGATCCTGAGACCCAGAGTAAAAATTGTAGATCTGGGGCCAGGGACTTAGCTCAGCAGCTTAAGTCCCGGCCTGAAGAGCAGGAGGTCATGAGTTTGATGCCCCATGCCAAAATAAACCAAAAACACCAAAACAGTAAACAAAAAACAAAAATACTGCAGATGGGAGTGGCAGACTCGAGGAGAGGTGCAGAGATGTGCTCCTAAGCTGGGCACGTGGGCCAGGGAGTGCCCTCAAGGGGCACCAAGAACCCCAGGCTCCTCTCGGCCTGGGAGGGGAGCCAAGCTCCCAGTTCACAGGTCAGGCACAGCACTGGAAGGCCACTGCCCCAGGAGCGAGGCCAAATCAGCCCCCAGGAAGGGCTGCTGGGACCCCGAGTCACAAAGCAAGGCTCAGAAGATTCGAGCCCTTCTAAGTCACCAGGCTATGTCCCAGAGAAAAAGGCACACCAGGATGGCACGCCAGGCCAAACTCACAGCTGGACACCCCATCCAATGCGCTGTGCGTTGAACACCAAATCATCACTGGACTTGAAGCGGAGGAAAGGGTACTCGCAATGCAGAGACCCAGACAACACGACGGACCCGCGGCTGCCACAGACGCTAGCACTAGCAGCGGAGAACTAAGATGCTATTTCAGCTGGACGTGGTGCACCAGCTACTTGGGAGACTGAGGCAAGAGGATGGCAAGTTCAGGCCAACCCGGGCAGCTCAGCAGGACGGCGTCTCAGAATGACACCAAGACTGGCGTGGCCCAGCGCCGCAGGGCGGGTGAAGGCAGGACAGGCTCACTGAGGCGGAGCCGCCAGGTGCGGCTGAGCCGGGCGGGCAGAGTGGAAAGCACTGGCCAACCGCAGACCGGGAGACGGAAGCAAGTGTCACCCAGCCAGGGCCAGAACAACTGACACTCGGGACACACACTGCCATTCCCAGAGAACAGCCATGAACGCGGGCGCTGGCGCTTTCCTGTCACTTCAGCACTTAGCCAATGTCGTCTCCAATAAAAAGGCTGATGCTGTGCTCAGTGTGCAGGGCTGGGCTTAGTCACCAGGACTGGGCGGAGAGACAGTAAACGAACAAAAACAGAGTGACTGTAAGCCAAAAGCCACATGGACAGTCCAAAATGGCACCTGAACAAGAAAAGAAAAAATGTCGAAGGATAACAGAGTGATACAGATGCACGACTCAGTCCATCGATGCTGGCTTTAAAAGCTCACCTTCCCGGCCGAGCACGAAGCTCAGCGGCCAGCGCCGACCAGGTTACCCAGCATGTGCGAGGCCCTGGACTCCACCCCCAGGGTCCCCCAAAGCGTGCCTTCTCTTCAGGCACTCAAAGCAGAAAGGGGCAAGGGTCTGGAGCATCGGGAAGAGGCAGAAAGGACAGCGGCCTTGCACCACTCCCAAAGGGCTGGTCAGCTGCAGCAAGCCACCTCCTCTCTGCAGATGTGGGGCCCAGTGTTCTGGGCTCTGCTGGACACCAAGGAACACAGTGCACACATTTGTACCAGCAACAAAACCCTGTGTCTTCCCCAGATGGGGAACTGATCCAGAATGATGCTGGCTCAGAGCTAAGAGGATCACCACCTGAAACACCCAATGGCACACGGTCCTGATGGTTAAAGTCACCCTGACCAAGTGACAAGGACACAGACTGAGGAATGAGGTCACTGCACAAAATCCCGGCGTTCTCCCCAGATCCTGCACCTTGCTGACAGGACGAGGTCCTGAGCTGCCCCCACCAGCTCCACCTCGGGGGCCAGGGCAGTGTTCTCTCCCAGGACACCACTGCTCCCCCCTGTCCTGAGGTGTGCGATGCCAGCCTCCTGCACAGCACACTGCATCCCAGTATCTACCTCCCACTGACACGTGCGTGGCAGGCAGCAGAGGTGGCAAGGCTCCTACTGCTGGGCAGACAGAGCCAGGGACAGCAGCTCCTGGAAGGACTAATCGCCAGGATGGGTGGGAACATCCAGACGGACCCTGCGCACTGCACTGCACCCACGCAGGCCCGAGGCCTGAGGCCCTGACCCTGTCCCTGTGACGCCAGCTGCTCGGGGCCAGGGGCCAGGGCCACCCGCCAGCATTGGGCTCCGCCTCTGCTTTCATTTTCTTGGTGATACCAGGAGTTGAACTCAGGGCCTTTGCACTGAACCACACCTCTAGGTGTTCTTTAGATTCTGAGACAGGGTCTTGCTAAGTGATAGAGCTGGCCAGGCTGGACCTGCTTCTTCTGCCTGAGCTGCTGGGTGCTGGGATGACAGGTGTGCACTGACAAGCCCAGTCTTTTTCTTTAAGTTAAACACCCACAAATGGGAACCAATGGAGCTGGCAGCACGGAACCAGCGCATCTGCAAGTCTCTCCTGGGGCCTGGGCCCGGGGTCCAGCCTGGTTGGCAGCACCTACCTTTCCATATTTGCTGAACAGGCTCTTGAGGTCAGTTGCGCGTGTGGTGGAGGACAGTCCACTGACCCACAGGTTCCGTCCAGAGCTGCTGCTGACCCGGCCTGGCATGAAAGGGGGGCTGTCACACACAGCCTCTCAGGGGACAGAAAGCACCCGCCTCATGATGTGGCCTTTGCAGCCCTGGCTGTGTCAACCCCCGCCTCCACTGCCCACACCAGAGGCGGAACTGAGAGGCTGGCTCTGCAGGGGCGGAGCCTTGGGATGGTCACAGGTGACAGACCCACTTGCTGCCACAGGTGGCACAGTGCTCCTAGCTTGGGAAGCGACTGTCACCATCCAGCCAGTGACAAGGAGGAGGACACGCAAGATGCAGATGCCCCCAGACTGACAATTTCGCTCATTGGAACCATGGAGGATCAAGTCCCACAGCCTATAACCAAGGAGTGAGTGTGCGTGGCCCCAACTCCTAACGCACTCTGGGCAGGGGCCTCCAGCCGCCTGTGGGCCACCGTACCTTTTTCATCCTTAATGACTGGCTTTATATCTTTTTCTTCCTTAAAAGAGCTAGAGACAAAAATTCATGTTACTCACACAAGAAAACAACAAAAGCAAACTAAATTAAAAGCATGATATGTACTAAAACTGAATACCTACCAGTTATTAGTCTGAAATAAAACCCTTACACTTGTATCCTGTGTGAGCTTATATTGGAAAATCTGACCCGAAAACTACAGTGTCAGATTTGTCAAAGTCAAGTCAATTAAGCTGAAGGTAACGATTAATGACAATTTAAGAACGCAACCATGGTAGGTTGAGGAAAAAGAAATCAAATCACCCATTAAAAATACACAGAGAAATAAAGCATCGTTTGGAAGTAAGCTACAATTTCGGCAGTCTGGCCGGCCAATTGCAGGGCAGCTTATGTGTGTCATAATGACCAATGAAAGGAGATAGCGTCTGGTCTAAAACTGAGAAACAACAAACCTCATGTTCTGATCAGCGCCCTCACTGGCTGAGGACTCTTTAGGAGCCGGAGGGACTTCATTACAAGCGTCAAACTCAAACTTCTTCACGTCTTCCTTGCTATCCCGGGGCTCCGGGCTCGCGGCTTCCGCGGGCGCGTCCGCCGGCTCCTGGCCACCGGCCCGCGGCGGCTCGGAGGCCGCGCTACTCTGCTCAACTGGCTTCTCTAGCCCTACAGGCTCACAGTCCGGCCGCGCGCCTCCGCCTCCGCCTGCGCCCGGCTGCTCCGCGGGCTCCCTTTTCACTACCGCTAACGGGGTGTCTGCCTCGCTCCACTGAGCGCGGGTCGACTCGCGGGCCAAATCTAAATCTCCCTCCTCCTCCTCCTCTTCCTCCTCTTCCTCCTGCTCCTGCTCCTGCTCTTCTTCCTCTTCCTCTTCCGCCGGGGCGCTGCCAAAAAGGTCCTCTTCCTCCGCCAGCTTCCTGTCTGGCCCCACGCTACTTGTATCCTGTGCAAATGGCTGCTCCAGCTCGGAACCTTCTTCTTTTACTGGCTCAGATTTACAAGTTTCCCCCAAAATGTCGAGTATTTTCTCATTTTCTACGGATTTAACAGGAATAGAATGGCACAAGGTTTAATTACCAGGGAAATAAAGCAATCACAAATGTGGAAGTGGCACGGCTGCCGCACTAACACGCAGAGCACCGCTAGCTACACAGAGATTGGAAAACCCGCGGGGACACACAGTTACGCTGCACCCTACCTGCGCTCCGACCGTGCTACGCCAGCCTCTAGCTACGGGAGAGCAGCGCCCGACGCCCCTACACCCCAGCTGCTCCGCGCAGCCTTCTTCCTGCCGGCTGCTCTTCGAGTCTGGCTCTTGCGACTCAGTGTCCAAGTCCTCGGCTCGGAGCCGATCGAGTCCCGTCTCGGGACGGCTGCCTTCCCGTCGTTGGGCTGCGCTCAGCCGACAGTTCAGCAGGGCTCTTCCGTGTTTGGCGGGAGAAAGGCGGTTGGAGGGAACAGCAGGCTGGGAGTTTCCTCGAAGAAGCCCCGCGCTTGTCTTCGGGGACCCAGCCCCTTCCTGGGCGGCGCGAGCCCTGACGCCAGCTCAGCCTGCCTCTACTGCGGTCACCGACCGGCTACGGTCAGATATCACAAGATCTGCCTCGGGCGCGGTTGAGCACATGGCGCGATCCCGGGACACCACTTAAAGGCCACCGAGCATGGCGGGTGGGGTGGAAAGCACCCCGGCGTCTCCTCGCCACTTGGCCCGGCCCGCACAGATCTGGTGATATGCGAGGGTTTCCAATCTCTGACCCTGGAGGACCTGCACTGCCCACCGCTACGGTGATTCACAAGACTACACACAGCTGAAGGTCCACACAGCGCTCACATGGGACCAGCGGAACCCTGCGAACCGCACTGTCGCGCTCCTCTTACAGTACCTGGCTCTGGGAGAGGCTCCTCCATGTCCTAAGGGGAGACAAGAGCAAGCGCGCACGTCACCGGGACAGCCGGGACAGCCGCACGGGGACACTTCCCCAGGAAACACCTCTGAAAGAGCCCTGTCCTGGGAGCGCTGTGCGGTCCATGGCCGGCCAAGCTGAGCTCCAGCCCAGCTGCCACACCCAGCGGTCCCCACAGCGCTCGGGTCAAAGCATAGATCAGCCACACGGCCAGCCATCGGCCATCCCCTCCCCCGGGCTCAAGAAGGAGACCCCTCCCCGAGCAGTGGTTTGCAAGCAGAGCCGGCTACGCTAACGGACCTGCCTTGAGCTGGCCGAGCTCCCCCACCGCCCGGCTCAGCACAGCAGGTGCTGCCTTCCCGGCTCTCGGGGGCCGCAGTGGCGGGCTCCGGGGCCCTGCAGCTGCCCCGCCCTCCCCGTGCAGAACAGCCACGGAAGCCCAGGGCGCCAGCTCACCGGGGTCTCTTTGAAGTCCAGCGCCGGAGCTTCCAGCGGGCTCTCAAAGCCTTCCGCGTCCACCTGAAAGAGGAAGGGAAGTCCTTGCTTGGAGGCCAGCGCTGTGGCCCAGGGCTGCTCCGCCCCGCTGTCCAGGTCACCTGCGCTCCCGCCTGTCCCCATCACGCCTGCCCCCTGGCACCTCCCTCCCTTCCGTTGCACACACACACCGGCGCCCGGCGCTGGCTGAAGGGAAAACGGGCCCGCTGGGCTGTTTGCACGCCCTGGCCCCTCACACACGCCCATCCACGTCCCCCTAACTCCACATCACTAGCTGGATTCTGGGTGCTTTATTCACAGGTGCATTTTTTTTTTTTTGAGACCCCGTCTTGGGGCCAGGGGTTTAGCTCCGTGGCAAAAGCACCTGCCTGGCAAGCGTGAGGCTGTGAGTTTGATCCCCGGTCTCTCCCCTCAACAAAAAAATGCTAGAGATATGGTCTCACTATGTAGTCCACAGTGGCCGTGGACACGCTGCAACCCTCCTGCTTCAGCCTCCCAAGTGCTGGGATTGCAGGCATGGGCCACCATCCCTGGCTTTACGGTGTACCTTCAACCTCCAGGCCTTCATTACCCGCCTCTTTTTCCCACTGAGACAGGCTCTCACAATGTGGTCCAGGCTGGCCTGTAGCTCCGTGTAGCCCAGGCTGCCTCTGAAGTCCCAGCAATCCTCTTGCCCCAGTCCCCGTGCTGGCATTACAGGTGTGCGCCACCATGCCTGGCACAACATGAATTTAAATGGATCATGTCCAAATGGGGGAAGTGGCACCTTCGGATCCACTAACATTGAAGACCCTCATCTGCTCCTGTGAAAAACAAAGACATCTCTCTCCCTCTCTAGTTATGAACCTAGAGCCCAGACACCTCCGGGCGTCGGGCACACACCTTCCCGAGCAGTGCCAACCCAGGGGGCCACCTCACCGTGGCTTGGGGTACCCACTGCCTGTTTCCCATCCCCTCATTGGGCGTGGGACAGCCGCAGTTGGTTATGCTCTGCCTAAAAAGCTCTTCCTCCAAGGTGGAAAATTTTGATACTTCCACGAACAAGGAAGAGCCCCCGACCACCAGAGCGGCCCTGCCAGGTGGGTCAGGTTAAATCGCACTCGGCTGGCTCTGGAGTGTGTGCCTGTTAGTCGCAGCATTCTGGGAAGCTGAGGCAGGAAGGCTGTGCACTTGAGAACCTTACCTCCAACACAAGACAGGGCTAGGAATGTAACTCACTGCAAAGGCCTTTAAAATCACTGCAAAGGCCTTTAAAATATGTTTTTAAAAACACCAAAAGTACTATTTCTTGAACCAGACGCACTGGCACATGCCTGTCACCCCAGCTACTCGGGAGGCAGAGGCAGGCAGATCACGGGAACCATCCCCAGGCGGGTCTGCCTGCCACTGTATCACTGTGACGTTTAGGGAGAGTCCTCTGACCGAAACACCCTAAAGTCCCCGTCAGGTCTAGGCAGCCAGGCTGGCCGGCACGGGGGCTGGGCTGGGGCGCTCTCCCTGGGGACTCGGCCCGGCCCCCCGCACACCGCGCACCTCCAAGTTACCTACAGCGTGTCCCGGGAGCTGAGCGGGAAGCGGGCCCAGCTGCGCGGCCACGCACTCTTTACTGTCGCAGAGGGGGGCGAGAATGCCGTTGTCGCCGCCGCCGCCGTCCTCTTCCCCGAAATCGGGGGCACTGCTGTCCTCGGCTTCAGCCTCATCTAACACACTCATGTCCACCATGTCCATGCTCTGCAGGTGCTCCAAACCCGCGTCCACATCCTCCTGGGAGGGGGACGGCGCGTCAGCCACCGCGGTGGACAGCCGCGGGTGCTCCGGCTCCCGGGACACCGCCTACCTGGCCGTCTCTGCAGTCCTCCTCCAGGCCGTTGTCCTCTGTGCCCTCCTCCTCCATCTTCTGTCCTAACCCCAGGAGAATTGTCTCATCAGGCGACCCTCAAGAGCTGGCCTCCCGCTTAGTGTCCACACCAAGTGGACACTCAGTCTCAATCCCAGAACAGTCACCAGGGGACACACAGCGGCCTGCGCTGTTGCTGGGAATCCCACCTACGCCTGTGCGCAGTGCCCTCGGCTGGGGGGGGGCTGAGACCTCGGGCAAGGGTCGCGGCTTTGCGATTTTCACAAGACAGCCGAGCAGCTCAGACTCCCCACAGGGTCAGGACTACCTGCCCCATGAGGAAAAGTGAGTCGCAGCTAAAAGCAAGCGTCTTTCCACCACCGGCCAAGCCGCCCACACGATGCCCGTGAGCACCCACAGGAGAGCACACCCCGGCTACTGCCCCATTCACCATCTGGGCTCCCCCCACGGGCCCGGGAAAACCCACACAGGCCACGCAGCCGAGGCCTGCTGCAGCTCGGAGCCGGGGAGCTCCTGTACAGGGCTGGAGGCAGCGACAAGAAACCCCAACTCAAGAGGAGGCAGAGGCTCCGGGGCTCCCGTCTCCTGGCCCTAGAATGCATGCAGCCTTGGTGCCAGCCGGCAAGGCGCTGCAGACGCGGGCAGAAACCACCGCCCCTTCCCGCCCGCAGCAGGTGGACGGGGCAGGCAGGCGTGCTCGATGGGCGCACACAGCTGGACAGCGCCGGTCACCACAACGGGACAACAGCCACCCACGAGGGGAACAGGTAGTCAGCTCTGCTGCCTGCGGGCGCTCCGTGACAGCTGGGGGCGCCCCGCGAGCCAGGCGGCCTGAAAAGGCTGTGCTCTGGCAGAGCAGTGACACAGGACAAGCCTAGGCACGGAGCACCAGAGGAGCAGGAGCCCGCCGGGCGTGACGGGCACACCTGCGGTCCCAGCACTCCGGAGGCCGAGGCAGGAGGGGGCCGTTTAGGACCCCACGGGCGGGCAGCTGGGGGGCAAAGCCTGGTGCGTGTCCCCAGGAGCACGCCTGCTAGATGGAAAGGACTACGGGAGGCCCCCACCGGCGTGTCTGCACACACACAAGTGAGGCCGCCACGTGCGAGGCGAGGGGCCGGGCCTGACTCCCCGAGGCCCGAGCTCATGCTCGCACGCGCTTTTCACGTCCCCAAGTGCTCTCTCAATGTTTTGTTTAAAAACTAAGAAAAGCGAGCACAAGGACCCTCCCTGTGACTGGCACAGGCCCGGCCCGCGCCCAGCCCATGCAGCCGGCACCCAGGGACATCCACGCGGGCTGGCCACACGGGTCAGCGGGGTTCCACCTGGGAGCGCCCCACGCCATCCTCACCCAGCCCCCCCCCCCGCCCCCATGCCATGCTCGGAGCTCTGCGTGCCCACAGCGCCCAGGGCAGGAGCAGCAGGGACGAAGTCCACCGCCCCGCCAGTAGAGGGCACCCCACAGCACCAACCCGACCCAGAATCGGCATCTGGCGTGGCTGGGGGGGCCTTCCTGTCCACAGGTCCCCCCACTCTGTGGACACTGCCCGACGTCTCCTGAGCTCCCCTCTGTCGCCAGCCCCGCAGATCAGGCCTGTACTCCCCATGCTGACCCTCTGCCCGGGGAGCAGCCTGGGCCTGCCCGAGGCCCCGCATCCTGAGCTGGGCTGCGAGCAGAAACCCAGACCCGTGTTTGGAGTTCCAGCAGCCGCCACTGGCACGGCACCCCGGCGAAGGGCTGGTAAACCCTGTAAACAACGCTGGCAGCAGCCGAGCACCACTGCTGGTGCGTCCCGAGCTCGCAGTTAAATGAGTGCATCCGTCAGTTTCCCTGGGAGGCTGAGGCAGGAAGCTCAAGATTGAGGCAGCCCGGGCAAGCCAGCACCACCTGACTTCAGAAACTGAAAAACAATGGGCGGCCATGTAGCCGGGCGCTTGCCTACCAGGGCTCCAAGAAGGTTTACACTGCAGTGCGCTTTCCTCACTATGCAGAAACCCTCGGCGACGGTGGCTAACTGCCGGCCAGGCAGCAGAGCCGCTGGCGCACTCACTGGTGGCAGCGGCTCTCCCGCCCTCCCCCTGCTCAGTGCTAGCCGAGACCCCAGTGCTTCGGCGACAACAGACACAGCCAGGTCTCAGCGGTGAATCCGAGCCCGAATTCCTTACGCTGCCTCGCTGAAAACCTTTGGCAGTTAACACGTGCACTAGCTTTAAACCTGTCCTGAAGAGGCTGCTCTAGAAGCTTCTCAAGAAGAGACGTTGTTGGAAGGGCTACGATTGCACTGCTTTTGACTTTTGGTCTGAGACAGGGTCTCACTACGCAGCTCAGGCTGATCTTGAATTCAGTCTGTCACCAAGGCATGCTGGCTTTGGACTCAGCAACCCTGCCTCAGCCTCCCGAGTGCTGGGGTGACAGGCGTGCCCCACGACGCCTGGCTGAATTTCGGCTTTCTAGGCAGCTGTTCTCGCTACCTGAATTTAGCATCTCTTCCTACAATAGGCACTGAGGGAATTTCTATGTGGCACCTTCCAGAAAACACGTTTGGCCGGAGAACCAGCTCTGCCCTTACGACACACAGGCGCTGGCATGGTGAAAGACAGAACTAAGCCCAGCACTCAAAGTCTTAAGTGACTGTCCTTGTCACTAGAAATCTAAGGACAGAGCTAAGCAGGACAGCCAAGGCTTCAAAGCCACGCACTTAGATGGTTCTGACGACAGCTGACTCCAGCCACAGCGAGCAACGGAGCACTGACCCAGGGAAACCATCACAGGAGAAGAAACCGTCACAGAACACCACACTGTGTGATTGCCACCACGCAAAAGGTCCAGGAAAAGCAGACCTAGGGAGGCTCAAAGCAGATTCGCGGCTGTCACGAGCTGTGGGGAAAACACTACGGGAATGTGTGTCCTCCTCGGATGACAGGAACGTTCCAGAACAGGCAGGAGATGCTGGGCGCGTGGCCTGTGGGTACTCGGAGAACACTGAACCGCGCATCTGAGGTGCAGTGTAAGAGCTTACACATCATCATTTTTTTCTTTCTTTCTTTCTTTTTTTTTTTTCCGGTACCGAGAATCAAACTCACAACCACCTGCTTGCAAGGCAGGTGCTTATGCCGCTGAGCTAAATCCCCAGCCCCGTACATCATTTTTTGAGACAGGGTCTTGCTGTGCAGTTCAGGCTGTCCTTAAAGTACGCAGCCCAAGCTGGTCTCGAAATTGCAGCGATCCTGTCTCAGCCTCCAAGTGCTAGAATCAAAGCTACGCGCCACCGTGCCTGAGATTGTTTCTTTTCTTTTTGACACAGAAACTCACTACGTGGCTCACGCTGGTCTGAACTCATGGTGATTCTCCTGCTTCAGTCTCCCCGGTGCCAGTGGTACAAGCCTATGGCACCAGGCCCAGTTTCACCTTGTTAAAACAAAATGACAAGGTCTGGAGGTGGCATCAGGGACAGAACGCACAGTTAGCACCTGCGAGGCTCTGGTGTGGTTCCAGCACGCAGAGGGCCAGGAGGCGACCTGCTCTGGACCCTAGGGAAGCCAGTCGCCCTCCGCCTTGGGTTGATGGCATTGCCCATCACGGGGAAGGAAGGGAGCCAGGCAGAGGCAGCACCTGTGGCAAGGACGGGCCGGGGCAGCTGTGCTCTTTGCTCTGCCCTCGCCTAAGATGCGGGTGTAGCTGTGAGTTCGCCTCAGCACCCCGAGCCGCTGGCAGCTACCTTTAGCGCATCTCTTTGGCGTCCTCCTGCTGGCGGCCTCCAGCCCGATGCCAAGCTCGGCAGGGTCTCGCCCCTCCTCCTTGAGGGCCTGGAGGGAAGAAACGCATTTTTACCCCGTTACTTATTAAGAGCTTGCGGGCACACCTTGTCCTCCTCCACAACACGGAGGCAGCCTCGGTGTTTCGCAAACAGTCCACACCGCTTCCAGGTATGTGGGTCGCAACCCCAAGGCACTCGAACCCGGTGCAACTTGGCTCTGTCCAAATGACAGAGGACAGGGCTGCTGGGAGCCTGGCTGCGGAATTCAGGTCCCTGAGCACTCCCGAAAGGCCGCTCATCCCTGTGACACCCAACCCTGGACATGTCGCTGGACTTTGGAGGCAGTCTCGTTACACAACCCAGGCTGGCCTGGAGCGTGCACTGGCGGAGAGCCTCCTGCTTCGGCTGAGATCGCCGGAGTGCCCCAGCTTTCCCGGTTTGCAACCCTACTAAAGTCACAAGCGGAGCCAGGACTCTGCGGCGGTGAGAAGACCCCGGCACAGGCGTAGTGAGCAGGTGGTTTTCTCTATGAGGCATTTCAGTCCCCCCTCTTGCCTGTTCCAGGCCTGAGAAATCATCAGATTCCCTCTCCCCCAGCTGTGGCCACCCGCGTGTCAGCACACGTGTCAACTGCTCTGAAGTTGAGAGCAAAAACACAGGTCTGGGTCACCAGAGGGGCACAGGGAGGTGCAATCCCATGCACCCTAAGGAGAGTGCTCAGAGAGGTGACAGCACCTTCAGCCCCACGGTCCTCGATGGAAGCGGCCTGTGCAAAGGGCCTGGGGCAGCGACAAGCCCCGCCCCCTCCCACGGAACGCAGATGCCCACTCTGCAGAGGAGCAAAGTGAGGTGCGGAGGTGAGGTGGGATGGGGAGGCACCTGCTCAAGGTCACCTGTCCAAGTGTCCACTCCAAGCCCAGGGAGATGTCCAGGGCCACTCCGCAAGTCACCCAGAGCCCTGAGCGCTCCTAGGCGCGACGGGCCGGAAAGAGCCCGGGCAGCGCGGCACAGAGAGGGCCAGCGGCGGCCAAGGTCACACAGCGGGGACCCGGGGCCTGCAGGCGGCGGCCAGGAGGGCGCCCAGAGCCCCGGGATCGCGGTGACAGGCCGGGTCGCCGCGCCACCTCACCTTCTTGAGTCGCTCCATCAGGACGCTCTTGTTGCCACCAGTGTCCAAATTTCGCTTCTTTAGCTCCGCCCGCAGGTCAATCACGCGCAACTCGCTGAGCCGCCGGGTTCCGGGCTCCGAGGAGCCCAAGCCCAGAACAGCAGTGCCGGCGCCCGAGTCGCCCGACACTGTCAGGGGTTCCGCCATCCTCGCGACGGTGGGTCAGCCCCTCACCGCCGGCGGCTGTAGCGGTTCTGTGCACAAAATGGCGCCGCCTAAGAGGAAAACGCACTCGCTTCCTCCCGCCCCGCTTTGCGGCCGCGCATGCGTACTGCCCCATGAGCGGTCTCGGCCTCAGGCACTCTCGCTCTCCCACCAACCTCCAGCTCCTCCCGCTGGAACGCGCAGGCGCCACCACTGCAGCACGCATGCGTCGTTGTAGTCCCAGGCGGGAGGCCGCTGCGGGAAAACGCGCCTGCGCACATCTCCCCGAGGTCCCCACCACGCATGTGCACACGCGACTTGGAGCGTCGGTCTTGCGCCGGATGCGCCTGCGTAGAAGCGAGGCGCGCCGGACGGCTGGAGCGGTTTCCTCGCAGGAGGCGCCATTTTGTGCTAGAAGCCGAGATAAAACCGGCCCGGTTCTGTGTGAAGGGGGCGACGGAACCAGGGTCCCTGGAATGGCGGAGACTCTGTCGGGTTTAGGAGATTCGGGTGCGGCGAGCGCAGCGGCTCTGAGCTCCGCCTCGTCGGAGACCGGGACGCGGCGCCTCAGCGACCTGCGGGTGATCGACCTGCGGGCGGAACTGAAAAAACGGAATCTAGATTCCAGTGGCAACAAGAGCGTTTTGATGGAGCGGCTGAAAAAGGTAGAGCTGGGGCTCTGGGGCAGTCGTGAGGTGGTTTGGGGAGCCCCGCGGCCGCGACTGTGTGCCTCCGCTTGTCTCGGCCTGGCGCCGGCGTCTCCGGCTCTCCCGGCCCCGGGATGCTCCGAGGCTGTCAGGCCCGGGTTCGGGTCTCAGCGCCACAGCGAGGCGGGGGAAGAGGGGGCGGGGTGCCGACGGGAGAAGTCGGGCGCCTCCCGAGTCCCGGGGACCCCGTGACATCGGCCGCCGCGCGGAGGTGGCGCCTCCGCGGGCCCCTCCCGGCCTCCGTAGCGGGACGGGGACCCCCCGGTCCGCGCTTTCGGGGAGATAAAGGGGTTCGGCCAAGGTCACACAGCCGGGCGCGGCGGGATTTGAACCCTGGCTCGTCTTGGCGTTTGCCGTCGGCGCCGGTTCCCGGGAGGAAACCGGAAAGTAAACATCTTGGGAAAATGACCGGGACGGAGGGGGGAGGGGCGGGAGGAACTGGTTTTAGTCATTTCCAAGACGCAGCCTGTCACAGTAAGGTGGCAAGAAGGAAGGAGGTTTGTCAGCAATTGGGAATGTCAGATGCATTCCGTTAGGGTTGTGTGGTTGTCAGAGAGAGAGAGAAAGAGATAAGATCTTGATTTGTAGTTAAGCCTGGCCTCGAACTCGGGGCGATCTTCCTGCCTCAGCCTCCCGAGTGCTGAGCTTGCGGGTGTGTCCCGCCATGTGCGATTGCAGCTAGATTCAGGGCGGGGGGGAGCGCTGGGACCCCACCGATCGGGTCCATCTGGCGAGGTGTTGGGCGTGCAAAACCCTTAGCCTCTGCTGAGTCTGTTTCTTGGAGGGATTGAACTCAGTGCGCTTCCACTGAGCTACGTCCCTGGCTCCTTCTTTTATTAGTATTGTTTATTTAATTTGAGATTGGATTTGTTGGCAGTTATTTAGATGTCTTTTAAAAGAAAAACGATAGCGGTTTGTTTTTAGGACTAGATGAGGTTGTGAGGTTTGGCTTGTTGCCTGGCGCCCGTAAACACTGCTTGTGATTGTAATCACAATTTGATTTTCCTGTCTGGGTCGCGTCTTGTCATGTATACATCAGGGCTCTAACCTTGGGGATTCCGAGGGGCCCCTGTGTAAAGGTGGTTAGTACTCACAGTTAGTGCCCTGTTTTCCTCGATCTTTGCGGCTGCTTTCTTCTCCTTGCTCCCACCTATCAGGGTCTTGGAGCCTCTCATGTGCAGTCCTTAGCTGTGCCCCCGGCCCCCCAGCCTGTGCAGACAGGGGCTGGTGAGTCATTCCATCCTCCTGGACCCTAAGCAACCAAGGAAGTTTGGGATGTTATTACAAGTTAACATGAAGTGGGGTTTATTTTCAGTTTTGTAAGGAAGAAGCTTAGGTGCAAGAGCCCGGGTCCCTGATGTGTCCAGATGCGCTTGGGCGTTTTTAAAGTTGAAGCATTTGTTTTCCTTCTCCAGTCTTTATTGAGACAGAGCAGGGACTCTGTGGACCAAGAAGCTGTAGAAAGTGCAAGGGGTGAAAGTTCCCACCTGGGGCAGCTGGGCCCTGTCCTTGCAGCTGCCTGGCAGCCAGACCAAATTCATAAGCCTTAGGCCAGTCACCAGGCCTGCAGAGCTTCCTTGGTGGCATTGGGCTGTCCTGTCAGGCTGATGACTGGCACTAGTGTGACCTCACAAATCTTTTTTGTGTGTGTGTGGTCCTGGAGGGCACAAACGCATCCCGGATCCCTTCTCCTTCCTCTGTTTCTCAGGGCTGTGGTGTCAGTGCCGAAATGCCATCAGCGTGCCAAGGAATGGCTGGAACCACAGAACGGCTTTCTTTCCCACTTTGTCACCCCGTTGGTATCCTGTTCTTGGTTTTTTTGCCAAGAACTGCAAACGAGCAAAAAATGGAGGGATTTGCTGAGGTCTGTAAGGGCGACTCCAAACTCAGGATGCCTCTTGGTGATTGTTCAGAATTGGCTGTCGTGAGGAGAGGGGAGGGACCCGTTGTGCCTTGCGTCATTCTCACGACACAGCTCCAGCTCCGCCTGGGTTCCCTGTGGAGGAGAGCCCATCTCTGTTGCTGAGAGGGTTTCTGCACTGAACCCCGAGCTCCATCCTAAGCTGGGAAGCTCCTGAGGACATCTGGGGCTCTTGAAATTGGCTGTAGCCAAAGTGTGGCCCTGAAAATGGGCTAAACACCCCGTGGGTGGGTGAGAGTGTAGCGGTGGGGAGCTTGCCTGGTGAGCAGGGCCTGGGAGGGCCCGTAGCACTGCAGAAGCAAAGCAGCGAGTGGAAACCTGGGCTCACGAGGTAGCTTGGGAGGGGAGGAAACCAGACCCGGGCCCTGCTTTCTAGGCGCAGGGCCGTCAGGAAGCATGTTCCTGTGCTCCAGGTGGGTACCTGTGGGTAAGGCACAGTCCTGGGGTGGGGGAGACTGGGGTCCTGGGCCTGTCACACAGTGGGCACTCTGCCAGGGGCTGTGTTTCCTATCCGGAGGCTTTGAAGGCCAGGCCTGGCCTGGAGAGGTGAGGCTGGAAGACCAGGCTGTCCCTGGCTGGGAGAAGCCAGAGGAAATGGGCTTCCTCAGGTTGAGTTCTTTCGGGCCCAGGAGTAGGACGAGCGTTCGGCATGTTGAGCACTTGCTTTACTGGGTGCTGGAGCCCTCACGGCAGCCTTGCAGGGGGAAGTGTGGCTCCCCATAAATGAAGCTGTCTGTGAGCCCACGCCTGGAGCTCACAGTCTCTGTTCCCAGAGCTCCCGGGCCCGTGTAGTACCAGCTAAGAAATGGCCAGGAGCGGGGATGCCCATCGGGCTGCGGGCGTTTTGGATTGCAGTAGCAGCTGTGCTCTCCAAAAGATGGGCTTCCCGTTGTTCGCACATGTGTCTTGTTTTTGTTTTTGAAAGTGAGGGCTTGTAGCTGGGATCTGAGTAGACCTCAAGCTGCTGGGCAGAAGCGGTCCTCCCCTAGAGCCTCCGCGTCCCGAGGCCACAGGCGCACGCCCTCAGCTGGCTGTTCCCCTCGGTCACTTTCCTGCCTTCCCTTTAGGCGATTGAAGATGAAGGTGGTAACCCTGATGAAATTGAAATTACATCCGAAGGAAGCAAGAAGACGTCCAAGAGGTCCAGCAAAGGTACGGGGGCTGATGAGTGTGCGGGACAGGCCTCGCTGCCTGGGGGGCTCTGGGACCTGCAGCCCTTCCCAGGCCCAGACGGCACAGAGTGCAAGTCGGGGACTGTTCTCTGTGTTTCCCGTGTGCAGCCTGCCATTTAAACATGTGGTTTGTGTGTTTCCAAAGACAGGGAGTCACTTGTGTAGTTCCGGCCAGCCTTAACGTCCAGCGGTGCTCCCCCCTCAGCCTCCAAGCGCGGGCTGAGAAGTGTGTGCTGCCTGCCCAGCCAGTGCGCGCGCCTTACACACGCGTATGCAGTTCAGTACAGACACCTTCCTTTGAAGAAATTGATCCTGTACACAAAATCTTCTGTGATGGCATTTATTCACTTACAATGGGATGTCTTTTCGGAGGCACTACAAATGAAATGCATAGGCTGGCCTTGAGCTCACTTTTAGTGCAGGCTGGCCTTCTGCCTCGGCCTCCCGAGTGCGGGGATGACAGGCTGGGACTGCGGGCTGCACCACCATGCCCGGTAGGCCTTTTCCTTTTTCCGTAGACTGATAGTTATCCTGTATCCTGAAGTGTTAGCATTGAACTTGTTACTCTGTCGTCTGGCATCTAATTTTCAGTGTTGCTGTGGACCAGCAGGACCTCTCAGAGCTGAGGTGAGGCCTCACGGTGTGGCCCAGCCCATCCATCTCAGCCTCCCAAGCTGTGGGGACCAGAGGTGTGCACTCTGCTGCGTCCATCGAGGAGTGTGGGCTCTAATAACAGGAGGGCATCTAACGTTAAGGTAGCTACACAGCAGTAGCTCCCGCAGTACTGGTTAGTGTCCGTGCTACAGTGGACGCCGGGCAGTGCTGGTGATGCTGGTGCTGATGGTTAAGTTGCCTGTTAAAATACAAGTATTTCAGGCCAGGGACACAGCTCAGGAGCCTGCACACCTGCCTGGCAAGCATGAGGTCCTGAGTTCCATCCCTGGTACCAAAAAAACAGTAACAGTAATTTCATTGTATTTGGCTGATTTCTCTGCAGGTAAAATTTCCCTTGTGTTTCTTTATGGATTTGACAGCTGCTGATAACTGCCCATTTGCGTTTTTTGATTGCCCTTTTATGCCTTTGCATGTTTTTTACAGTTACATGCCTTGTAATGGTTCTCTCTATGGAAAACGTTGCAGTTGTTTGTTCCAGTCTGTTGTTTGACTTATTTGTGGTACTCGGGTTAGTGAAGTCTTACTTTGTATTATGGGGAGTGCAGCCAGCCTGTTCTGTATGGCTTTTTAGCTTTATGTTGTGATTAGAAAGAAAAAACATCGTGTATT